GGGGGGGGGGGGGGGGGGGGGGTTTGCCAGATGGACAAAGCTAATCATCACAGTATCACTAGGGGATAGGGATCTTTCCAAGTAAAAAAAAAAATTGAGGTCAGTTACCCCCAAAGGTGATCCTCTACAGTTTCCTAAAAAGCTCACCTTCCTTGAGCATTCCTTGTGTACATTATTCCATATGTCACGGCCTATACATCTTAGAGGCTAGAATACTGAATTTGGCAACACCGCGAGCCACTCCGCGTAGACGGCCGGTGGGTGTACGGTGGGGATTCTGTTGTTGAGCGCCTTATCAAAATTTCAAATTTTGTAGTTAGTTATGAGTTGATAACGTGTAGCTCACCTGCAAGAAACAAATAAATGGAATTATTAGTGATGAGAATCGTGTTAAACCTGTTTGACACCTTTTCGAGGAGGGTGCAAGCAAATAATATACCTTAGTTTAGCAGCATTGGGGGACATGAGCGAGTGTCATTTAATTTTCAAATATTTTCTGCATGTAACTCCTGCTTTCAAGTAACTTTCATTGAATACTATCGTAAGTAGATGAATTATTCTGAGAATACTCTTCATGCACATGCTGATTGATTTATGAATAAGAGCAGTGCAATTCTTCTGCTCTGTCAATCATTACCCTAAACGTAGGTATGCATAAAGTAGCAAGTCTGGATCTAACTTTTGATAACCATCCACATAGGTTGGCAGAACTTGGCAGAACAATGAATAGAGCTATAGGTACCTTCAGGAACACAGATCCAGATTGACCAGATGAGCACAGATGCAAAAACAATCCAAGAACAGCATGAGAATGAGAGGTTAAGCATGCGGTGACAATCCAGTCAATTAAAGTTGAAACACACTTCACATTTGACAAAAAATAGGTTTGCAGTTTAGAGACACGGCTCCAGCCGAAAATTGAAGTTTATACAGAAGGAAATTAAATATTCAAGAGAGAGATATAGAAAAACAAATTCACAAGTTTATAAATCCTTTAGGCACAGTGATCACACTTTCTTTCAGACACGAAATCACTAATAAATCCGATCCGAAACTACGAGGTAAATATTTCGCACGTCGCGCACACGCTCGCACTTTGCCATATTCAAATAAACCGCGTCACGCTTTGAATTTCGACCCGCTAATCCGCGAAGAGCGAGATAATCCCATGGATAATCCGAAAGCTCGGCCGTTTCCGTGCAGCAAACGAGGGCCTTCTACAGTGTTGCCGATAATTGACAATATTCTAGCCTGTAAGATGTATAGGCAGATAGGCCGTGCATATGTACATTATTTCATGACAACAGCGCTACGAGGTAGTTTTCGGAACCAGCCTTTTGAGGTTATAATTTTGTTTACAATCTTCCTCACTCAGTCTTAGTTTCCGAAGTCGTTCCTGTTTTATCATGTTACGCGAAATAATCTGTAAATTGTGTTATGTTCTATCCCTCTCAAGTCTTCCATCCCTAAAACTTTAATTTCTCGGAGATTACTTAATCCTTTCACAAATGAGCAACGAATGAAATAATCACAGCCGTCCGCGGCCGTACCAGCCTTGATTGCCTTGATCTGCCTGAAACTGAAAGGTGCACATCCAACTGATCTGTCATTGCCGGCTGCTGCTAGATAGGATACGCAAAAATAATCTCCGTGTCATTTCTTCAACTGTAAATCCTCGCTTTCTTAAATAGTCTCAAGTAGGTGAGCAAGCTGAAGAAAACCTTTGATCTTTCAGGAAGTATATCGACGGTGTAAGTCGGCAATCACATAACTCGGTTTGCGACGTCGCAGACTTCCTCTCATACCTACTTTATTTTTTAAATGGAAAACTACTCAACGGCAATTCTTCAAAACTGTCATGATTTTTCTTCTCAATGCGAAGAAAATTCTGCAAAAACTTCAAGAAATAATGTCAATTTGTTCTCCTTTAAAAAAATGACGTAGAGGCGGAGATTTTCAGACACCGCAAACGAATTATGTGATTGCCGACTTTCACCGTCGATATGGAGAAGTCAACCAGATTCACAGAAAAATTTTTCAGCAGTATTTTACTACTTCCCAGTTTGAACCATGAGATGTATGCCTCCAAGACCAATCCACACGGGTCAGTCATTCCCGTGGACGAGTTTTGGTACTCTACTGCGCAGTGACGTATTGAGTGCTTGCAATGTATTTCTTATGGGAGCACCCATTGTGACGTAGTATTGAGTGCAGCCGAGTTAGGGCCGGGCGGGGAAGTGGCTCTCAAAAAGATGCGCAATGACTGACCTGTGTGGATTGGTCTTGTATGCCTCTTACAATTAGATCTAGGAAAAGAAAAGAGCGGACATGTGTCACATCAATCACCAGTTGGCCTACTAGTTAATATATAATTTATGTTGAATGGTGCTATTTACTGATGTGACGATTGTTCATTCTTTTCTTTCCCCAGTTCTAACAATTTCTTTACACACCTCTTAATAGAGTCCATCCTAATAAGTTTAGGCACTCTTAGACTGTGACAGAAGATCTGCCATCTTCAGTCTTCTATTTACTTTACATGTAAAAAGGATGTCAGACAATCTTCCGTCGCAATCTAGAAGTTCCTTCGTAAACTTATTTGGCGTTGACTCTATTTGACTGTCCTGCAATGGCTTTTAAATCAGTTAGGACATATTGACGGTGTAAGTCGGCAATTACATAACTCGGTTTGCAACGTCGCAGACTTCCTGTCGTACTTTATTTTTTTAAATGGAAAAGTGCGGAACGACAATTCTTTAAACTGTTGTGATTTTTCTTCTCTGTGCAAAGAAAATTCTGCATAAATTTCATGGAATGATTCCAATTTTTTCTCCTTCAAAAAAATAGCATACAGGCGGAGAATTCAGACACTACAAACGAGTTATGTGATTGCCGACTTACACCGTCGATATGTGACCCCAATTCAGAACCTACAATTTTTGGTGGAAATCTATTAGCATAACAGGATGCAGGATGGAACCCTGGGCTATTGAAATCTGTCAACTTTTTCAAATTCTGAATGAACATTTACGTATTCCTAGAATTACCAGAGGCAATTTTCCTGCATCAAATTCATCTCAATTTTGTTCCACCCTGCAGCTTTTCTCTCTTCCATTCAATTTGTGCTTTATGCTCGGACAATTTTTTCCCCCAGTTGAAATGTGCTAAACCAAATTTTCTCTTCTATTTTTCAGCATGGCAGATGAGAGTACGGAGTCTTTTGGAAATGCAGTGGCCTCTCATTACAATAGTATTGAAGATGTAGGAGGTCGTGAGAGACAGAAAAGTCGAATAGTACACTTGAGGAATTTCAACAACTGGATTAAAGGAATGCTGATTGGTAAGACTTAATAGAGAACAGTTTTTTCAGTAAATTTTCAATTTATTCTTAGCAAATACTTTCATCAAATAAACGTGCCAACGGGCCATTTGTATGTTGGTAGTTCAACTAGAAAAAGATTGCAGCATTGCAACATTGGGAACTTTCCCTCCTGCTCCAAGTATTTCAATTTGATGAAATCAAAACCTTTTCAATTTTTAAAATTGAGCTAGAAATATCCTCAATTATCTGAAAACATTTACTATATATTTCACACAAAATTATGAAGCAGTGGATTTTCTTTTGAAAAATAAAGTGAAATTAGAAATCTTGAAACAGGTTTAGCAATGAGATATCTATTTTTCTAGCTCACTGAATCTATTTTTTGCATAAAGGCGTTAATCCATTAGATCGTTTTAAAATCGCCATTATCCGTTCAGTTTTGTGAGGTAAGCAACTACCAAGAAAATTTGACTGAAAATTTCTCTGATTCTGATTGGTCACAAGAAGAAAATTTTCTCTCTCTCCTCAAGGATTTTAAGAATCTTTGCAGTATTGAATCATCCTTGGACGTTTCAAAATATTGCAATCTTGTCATTTCCTTGTCCTAAAAATTACTCAAACAATGCAGACTAAGGTCCTAATAATTTTCATAGAAATGTGGACACACAGCAAAACTAGAAATGTTCTTATATCCAAGAAGAAAATACTCATAACTTCAATTCGGGTTCTCCCTGTCGGGCTTATTTGATATCCCAGTAGGTGCAGTGTGTGCAGTCTATAATGTTGTATGGATACAGAAAGAGGGTTGCAAGTTACATCATTAAAGAAAAGGGAACTGGCAACAGCCATTTTGAGCAAAAACTTTTCAACTGTAATTTTTGATCAATAATCTTGCGATTGAACAAATTCAGAGAAATGTTTGTTTTCTCAATCCTCTTGTGGAAATTTCCAAATCTTAATCTTCAATTTCATCTCCAATAGAGATGTTTGTTATCACACTGAAATCGGTCAAAAAACGTTCATTAAAAAGTAAGAAACTTCTCCTGGAGCACACATACATTTAGATAATATCTGTTAATTTTCGGTCAGCTCTCACTTTGTACCTTTTTGCACAGTCAAAATTATCTAAATTATTAATGGATATCCAGTAATCTTGTTTTTTTTTTCTTCTCTGCAAAGTTGAAGCATGATATAATATATTGATCAATGAACGAGAAATGAGTTGCATAATAAACTTAAACTTTCAAATTACCTTGTTTTATGCAAAAAGGGACAAATTTGTTTCGGGAGCCTAACTGCTCCCATCTTCAGCAAGTGACAACTGAGGCGTTTGCAGTGCACCCTTTGTCAGATTCCGAAACTAGGACAGAGAGTAGTGGATCGTCCAGCCCTTCAAGATCCTCATTCATCAATCTAGCTCTCTTCTTGAAAATAAAAATTTTCTCTTGCATTGGCAAATCAATTGGACGAGTGAATAACTTCTTTTAAAAGTACAGGTTCTTCCTTGATCATATGAGACTCTTCACAACAATGTTTTGCAACTGATGACTTGTCAACTTCTTCATTATTTATATTTCTAAGATGTTCCTTTTCAAGAATACCTTCTTAGTATATTCCTCACATTCTTACTTATTCATCATTTTATTTGTTCTAGGTATTTTCAATTGTTAATAGTTAAATATTTATTTTCAGACCATTACTTGAAAAAAGTAAGTGAAAAAAAGAAGCATAGAGAGCCCCTTAAGGTGCTGGACTTAGCATGTGGTAAAGGTGGTGACTTGTTAAAGTGGAACCAGCTGCAAGTAACGCACGTAGTTGGTGTGGACATTGCAGAAGGCTCAATTGAAGATTGTAAGAACCGATACAATTTTTTGTGCAACAGGAATTCCAAAGAACGGAAAGACCATATTTTCAAGGGACATTTTTTTGCAGCTGATTGCACAAAGGTACCTCTTTTGATCCTTATTATGGTTTTTTTTTTTTTTTTTTTTTTTTTTTTTTTTTTTTTTTTTATTATGGTTTTTTTTTTTATTATGGTTTTTTTTTTTTTTTGTTTTTTTTTTTTTTTTTTATTATGGTTTTTTTTTTTTATTATGGTTTTTTTTTTTTATTTTATTTATTTTTTTTTATGGATGCACTATAGACATACATATGTTGTTTTTGTTTTTCGAAAAGTGACATACTCTCGAAATTGATTATTTCAATCATTGCTATGACAATTCTATTGATTCTATCGATTCATTTCTATCAATTATAAAAATTGAACATCGATCTGTCGATTAAATGGATCAGTCTTTGATTAATGGACAAATTTTGATTTATTGGGGTTTTAAAAATTGTTTAACTTATTTGGCATGCTTCCGAAATTTTATCTATAGAACACAGTTACATTGATTGTTTGTAGGTATATCGATGTATGTTGCAAAATAGTTGTAATTATATCTGGAAAAAATTGAGAATTTTGAGAGTTTGAGAGATCATAGTAATGATGATGCTTGATTTAAGGATGATAATGATGATTTAAGTTTCTTTGAAACTTTTTTTGTCCTGCATCTCTTCCCTTTGTTTCATGCAAATTTGATTATGTGCTTTTACAGACTCGACTCCGATCAAAATATGATGATCCAACCACTAAATTTAGTATTGTCAGCTGTCAGTTTGCGTTTCACTACTGCTTTGAAAGTCTTCCACAAGCAGAGCAAATGCTTCAGAATGTTTCTGAGTGTTTAGAACCAGGCGGCTATTTTATAGGAACTTTACCAGATGCTAACACCATTGTGTAAGTCGACATTTTGGACCTTATGAATTCCTATAGATAGTTGTTTACAAACTAAAAATTTTGACGAGGCTTGGTCCAAACGCTGCCATTTTGATATCTTAATGCGACGCCTGTACATGCACTCCATGAAGATTACAACTTTAAGATGTGAGTAAGTATGAGAACAGCTTGCATACAAAGGTATAACATGGTGATATTAACAGAGCGTTTGGACTAAGTCTCATAAAAATTTTGAGCAGAATTCGAATCTTCAATCAGAAACACCGCTGATTTAAACATCACAACAATGCACTAGGACTGAAGGTATGTACATGTTCTTTGAAAATTACAAGTCTCAGTGTCATCTTCTTTATCAGCATCGAGGTGTTGTTCAGTAGTAAAACCAGGCCTTGGGTTGGGTTAAGACGCTTGCGTTTACCGGTTTTAATCTCAAATTTTTTGCCCTAATTACTTGCCAAGGAGTATAGAATAATTGCCAACACCTTTTCATTTTTACAACTCAAATGACTCCATATCTAGCTCTTAGAGGTTTAAGTCAATTTATCATTGTTAATGCTCAACAAAGGCAGGGGGACCATTGTCCATATTTCCTGGAATTGGTGGATTAACTTTTCCGTGCCTTCATTCAAATGCATTCAAAAAAGTTTTGGTAAAGATCGACGGTGATATTGCTAAAGAGAGGTAGCTTTTCAGAGAGACGGTCGTGGGAGGAGCTTTTCAAAGAATCTATTTTTCCTTTTAGTTTAATGCTACTGGCATCTTACAATCAATCTTGACCCTTCCCCTTCCATTGAAGGTCTGTGAAATTCACCTTGTAAACCCCTCTCCCCCCCACCCATTTTCTTCATCAGCATTTTCTAATCTTTCCTTCTTTGTTTTTGGTTTCCACAGAAGTAGACACAGGCAAGCTGGTAACAAGAAATTTGGTAATGAAATTTATCACATAGAAGTTGAAGATTCAAGCTTTAGTTTATTTGGCGCTAAGTATGATTTTCACCTGAAGGGAGTCGTTAACTGCCCTGAATTTTTAGTTTATTTCCCTGTTTTTTTAAGGTGAGTGTTGGAAATGTTTGTTAAAAATGCTTTCTTTTTTAAAATGATATCACAGAGAAATTACAGCCTTCTTAAGAGAACCAGAAGATGAGACATCATATCTGCAGAAATTGGGGAAGGAAAGCAAATTAGGATTTGCCTTATTCATGATTAATTTGCTGTAAATTGATGTAAGACTGCATGGTTTGAATCGAATTTTGTTTTAGTTATCATATTTTTATTCCATTGTTTCATGAATAAACCAATATACCTAATTCAAAATTGGATCAAGTCGTGCAAACACCGCTAATGTCCATTTTCTCTGATTTTGAAGAAACGGCAAAAAACTGTGGAAGCCTTTTAAATGTGGTATTAAAAAATGTTAGGATGTTAAATGTTGTGTTGGTTAGTGGATTGTAGAAATGAATTCTTAACAGTGTCCAGCTCCTCTTCTGTCCAGTATGGAATAATTAAAATCAAAGGACCCTGGACATTAGCGGTTTTCGCATGAAACGCGAAAATCCTCGAGTTTTGAAGCTGTTTGATGTCTTCAAAGGAAGACTAATCATAAATAGAAATATAAAAAACAAACACAAACAACAAACAACAACAAACAAACAAAATGAATTTTGAAGACATCTAAACTGTAGACTATCATTCAAATAAAGTAAGAAAATTAAAGTCTTGATTTGCAACGAGTTTCATTACGAAGCTACCGGCAATAAACTGGACAATAGCAGTTTTCGCACGATTAGTGCGCGGACGGTTCTAAAACATCAAAAACGCATATTTTATGTACGGTATGTACTGAAAAATTTTAAAAAAAGTATCTTGAGAGTGACAAACAATAAAAATAAACAAAAACAATAAAAGGAACCTATTTTAGCACCTCCTAACTTGCTGCCGTCACTCTCTTCATTGGAGAAGTCATTATTTGCCTCTGTGAGTGGCCAATTCGCCATGCTGCTGGAAAACTGTGAGAAGTTTTCGGGTTTTTACCCTGAAGTCTGAATTAAAAGATTAGAAGGTGGTATTTAATTTTATCATGATTTTAAATCAAACAATACACTGATTGTGAGGCATGTAACAAAAGATGGACATTAGCGGTTTTTGCACGATTTGGACCACAGCTTTACTCTTAAAAAGGGTTAAAAAGTAAAAAACACAAATTTTCACCTTATCTATGAATGTGTCTAACCTTCAAGAATATTTTAACCCAAAAATCTCAAAATTGAAAAAAAATTCACATTAGCGGTTCCCACATGACACGATTCAATTGTGGATTTAACAGAAAACAGTCTAACCCGCAGATCGGCGATTTTTTTATTTCTGGTAGATATGAGATGCAGGGAAGGTCAAATAAGTTGGTCTGTAGTTTTTGAAACTGCGTGCCCCTTAACGTTTTGTCCCCCCAGATGTGCAAAATTTGATTTTCTGTAAAGTTGGTAAAATTTATCGATCCATATTAATGTATTTTTTTTTTTTTTTTTTCAAATGCATAGATAATTCATGTGGGGATTTTTAAACGTGTGCTGATTCGAAGGCTCTGTTAACCTTTTGATGGGGAAAGATTAAGTTTCATTTGTGCTCTAATTAGTGATAAAATGTGTGTCATGCCAGGCTCATAGCCCCTTCGGATATAGTCTCTGTGATGCTGTAAGGGGCCTATGAGCCCAGCAGCTGATAGTTGGAAAAATATAATCCTGCACTGCTTCTGGGCCCCCATTCAATATGTACCAATGCCCAGTACAGTGTCCTCCCATGAGTGCACCGCAGAACTTTTCCAGGTCTATTTAAGAATTCTAGAATGATGAGGACCTTTTTTTCTACAAATTTATGTTCTATGGATCTATTTGTTTTAGATAAATATAGAATTTTATCTCTGGACAAAGTTACTTCAGCAGTTCTATTGTTTTACAGGTTAGCGGAAAAATATGATTTAGTATTGATAGAGAAGAAAAGCTTCCCTGATTATTTCAATGAAATGAAAGATACTGATAGAGGTAAAATGCTGTTGCAAAAGATGTCAGCCTTAGAGGTAAGAGCTTTTATGATCTCCTTTTGTTTTTGAACCATGAGTCTAGATTGATAGAGGTGTGTACATTGTAAATCCCTGTAATTATTCTATCAGTAAATTTCAAAATATATCATCAGACCACAACATGTTGTGATGTTCTACCAAAAGTCTCTTCCTTTTTCTACTTCCTCCCGATTTTTTCGTTCCTTCTCCCATTTGTTTGGGTTGTAAGCTGGAACAGTTTTTTTCAGCTGCCTCCAAGTCAATCCTGTTTCACTCTCCTCTTGAAAACCTCTGAAAAAAAAGGGTAAGTCTTAATTCAGACGTAGTTGTCAATAAAAATTCTGGATTTAGATTTTCGATGAGACAAGGTCTGAACCTCATAAAATATGGAATAGAACTGTGGGAAAAGAAAACAAATTCGTACCTTTAATGTTACCAAAAACAAAGATAGTACCGAAAAGGAAAATTTCATTGAGAAAAGTGTCTTTTAGTTAAAAAATTTAGACAAGTTTGGGCACAAAAAATGTTTGGAATATTTGTATGGAAACAGAAACTCACAATACAATTTTAATTATGAAAACTTTGCAACTATGACAACACCAGGTACATACCTTGTTTCAGTGTTCCCGGGTGCTCCGTGTGCGAGATCCGTACGCTCTACCGCTCTCCGTGTTGCTATTGGCTGAGTGTCATTCTGTGACGTCACGCGTACGGATATTTTAAGATAGGGAAGCGTTTTTCCCATAAGGTTTTTGTCCGTACGCGGTCCGTGTCGGTATAGGGAATGTCCGCGCGGCACGGATAAATCCGTACGCCTGGCATCACTGCCTTGTTTCCACTTCTGCAGCTATTTTCAGTGTTTGAAACTTAATAATTATAAGTTTGAATGGGAATTCGTAAATAAAGAAAAACCTGAGAATTTGTAAGTACAAAAACCTGGGAATTTTTAAAATGTCTCGGACCCTGGTTTTGACCAGGTCATGGTCACATACTTAGTGAAGTAAAAATTTTCTAAAAAGGGTTCGGGTCCCGTTGAAAGCAGAGTCTGGCCCCGGTCCCTGGTCCTGAATCCTAGACTTGGTGTGTTTCAAAACTTTGATTTTGGATAGGATTTATGTAAACTCTTATGCTATTTTTCCACCACTTTAATCTTTTTCACTCACCAATCCTAACTAAATTGTTCTAGTTTTCTTTCTATTTTTCCTCTTTTCTATTTCTAATTCTCAATTTACTCTGAATTTTTTCACAATCCCACATTTTGTTTATTTTTATAGTCCGTGTATGTTCCTCTCGGTTCTTGACAACTTCTCTTAGTTAGTTACCTCCAGATGACATGCATGCGAAGATAACATGTTATTCGAGACATTCGATTTTGTTGTAAACGACCATGCCATGACTATGACACTTTTTTCAGTGATATATGACAAGATATCATAAACTATCATGTTAAAGTGGAAATATATTTTTAGTTCTCTACAAAAATTTTATAGGATCAAGAAGATGGCAACAATTTGTTATGAAGTTGGAGCTGTCTTAATTATTTTGTAGCTAACCAGTTGGCGGTTGTCTATAATATCTAGCTCTTTTTTACGTTTTTCTTTGTGTTTTACTTAGAGTTACCCTCCATACCGGGAAAAAGAATTGGTTGGAGAAGAGTCTGATTATGAACATGTAGCAAAATTCAAGAGTTTATCCAGTGAAGATAAAGAAGAAAGCCCTATGAAAAGGATAGGCACTCTCACAGCCAGTGAATGGGAAGTAGCAGGTATGACTGACGTCACATGTATGATCTAACTTTTTCATGATCTTTACCTTAAAACACCGCGTAAGAACCATGAAACACAGAATTATTACTTGAAACACAAAGATTAAATATCTGGGTATGCATATGGTGTACACATTAAATCATTAGTGGTTTATATAACACAGACCAAGCAAACAATAGAAGAACAATAGTGCAACCAAAAATGTGACACGACGCACAAGTTGTCCAGAGTGTTTTGATTATTTTGCCAACGTGCACCCAAAAAGGTGCACAGATTCAACAGTGAACTAGCTCCGCTAAGAATAAGGGCGGTCAGTATAAACAGAGCTAAAGTCTGAAACAGGCACAAGATTGCTCTGACACTACAATAAAAAGAAAATCGGTGAATAAAACCAAGAAATCCTCCAGGCTCTCTCCACCATTGAATGATGATGGTCACAAGCGATTTAATCCTCTGAAAATACTACCCCGTGATCTTTCAGAGATGTGACACAATTTAATTCAGTACCACAAAGCAAATAATTAACAATTATTATTGGAGAGCAATGTCCTTAGAAGGAGATGACATTACATCTCATGTTATTGAAGAACAGATAATTTTTGACCAGTTCTCCAAAATATCATTATCCTTCTGAAAATGATGTTGATCATCGATGGAAGAGATAAGTTAAAAAAATTTCTAATCATTGGCAAAAAGGAGACTTTTTACAAATTTAAGATCATGAAAGCCTTGAGGAATGCTAGACAGCACATTTTTAGTTTTGGATTTTAATCCTTGGACTCCTCTATTTCCGTCTTTTCAGACAGGCATGCTTTGACAGAAAAAGACAGAAAATACTTTGCGTTTCGGTGCCTTTATTTGTTCATTTGCTCGAAAATCATTTGCATTATTTTCGGGACAAACCATGTAATTAAGACGAACAGAACACAAAAAACCTACAATTTTAAGAGAGGACACTGAACATAACAAACTATGATTAATTGGTTTTTTTTGTATTGAGTTGTTAAAGGAAGCCTTTAAGTTTTTATTTATGTTTTAATCCAATTCTTTTTTTAAAAAGAAAGAAAAAAAAGAAGAAATGTTTAAACATGAAATCGAAGTTTCGGTATAGTTTGTTTAACTGAACTTAGTATTTCAATTTTCAAGGCTCTGTGGTATCTGATAAGTCAATGGGAGGTCGTTTCAACAACATTGGCAGATGCTACTGAGCATGAACTTTCAGAGCATAGCTGTACCTCCCTGCAGTTAGACTCTGTTGTTTTAATAATCTCCCCCTGATAAGTAACGCTGACACGTACTACAAGTAATCCACAATTGTTTCACAACCCAGTCAAACAGTGCGAACTTATTACTTACCAGCAGGTTGATTATTGAAACTATGTCAGCAAGACAAGACAAACATAGCCCTACCTATCTTAATCATGCAATATATCGAATTTCGATGTCTCATCGGGCTCTGTTTAATCTAATGGTCCTTTCATTGGTGTGGCATAGTCATCTACGGTCTTGATGGCTGATATTTGTGTGACATCAAATATCAGTCACCATTGGAAATTGAACCTTGGGCCTTTGTGCTGGCATCAAACTACCTTAACCAGTGCACAACCAGTGAAGCTGATTCAGTCACAATAATAGCTTTTTCTTTACTCTCTCTGCAACTAAAATGTTTGTTAAATCTTACAGTTTTGGTATAGCCTAATAGTTTATTCATTTTTATGTTTCCCTTGAAGCTCATCAGTTTTTATTCATTTTTCAGGTTTGTACCTAGTATTCGCTTTTCAAAAAAGGAAGCCATCCTGAGAGACCTGCAGAGGAGATACATATGCTTTCCTAGATAAGAAACAAGTAAGATATAGATTCTTAGAAATGTTAACCTACAAAATTCTGAAGAATTTTTGCTCAATATACAGACTGTCTGGGCCAGGCTTTTTTATACACTCTAATGATAAGGCATTAAAAAACAATGAAATCCACACATTTCCCAAAATTCCACAAAATTTCAAAAATTAGTACAGTAAAAGTTTATTTAGTCGCATTGTCGGGGGACCAATGAAAATTTCAAATTAAGCCGCTATTTGACTTACTCGTTTCTCTGCTTAACTCGCAATTTGCATGGAAATCGTAGAAATTCGACTCAAGTGGCAAATGTGCCAGGAGTAAGCAGTGATATCGAAGATGGTGGTGAAGAGGATGTTGCCAACCTCGACACAAAACCGTTTTCTGCAGTAGAGGTTCAAGTAGCTGTTGACAATTTGCGAATTTTTTTTGTCAGTATGAAGTCGACAAAACACTCTGGGTCGACTGGGTTCCTCCTGGGAGAAGACGCAGAGGGCGCCCAATGAAAGGTTGGAGGGAAGGGATTGAAGCGGAAATGTTAAGGTGCTCAATCCCCCAAGATTTGTGGTTTGAAAGAGAGCAGTGGAGGTTAGGGGTCGTAGAGCGCAAGGGAGTGCTGTAAAGCGACTTATGTATGTATGAAGTCGACGACAATGCAATAGCCAGCCTCCAATATCTAGAATCATTGCTCATGTCGGGAATGCCACATCAACAGAAGCAGACAAAAATCAATGATTTTTTTAAAGTGATTTCTTCTTGCACTTGTCAAATTTTTAACTATTTTAATGTATTTTAATTTTTTTTTAAATTCCTTATTTAACTTTTTTACATTTAATCAAATCTCAATCAAGAGTGAAGTGAGCCAAGCTTTAAAAAAAAAAAAAAAAACTATGTACCAAATGCAGAACCCCAATCCCCCAACTGCCAAATTTTCATACCTATCAAGCAACATATGTCACTTCTACACTTCCTTCATGTATAAAAGTACGTAGCCACAAATCTCTTTTTTACATTTCTTTCGTCAATGTTGCTTATTTTTCGGGGTTTTGCTCATTAAAACCCGACAATTTTCTGGATTTCTCAAAAAAAAAATTCCACAAAGTGACTTTTCATCTGGCACGAAAAATCACTAATTTGACTGAAGCGCTGTTTTTTAGCATTGTTCCTCATGGGTTCATCCTGGGACTGAAGAAAGTTTTGACTTAAGGGGATTTTTGTCATAAGCGATGTTCGACTTAAGGAACTTTTACCGTATATTGCTGAGCTCACATGAGTTGTTGCTTTAACTACAGGGTTTTAAACCTAATTCCAAAGAATTATGCTGTTTAAGAAAGCTTAAGAAATGATTATGAACATGGCCTTTATCATCTGCAGCTTTTATTACGCGGGTGGGTTTTTAAGTAAGTTTACTCATTTTATATCTCTGAAAATATTAATGAAAGAAAAAAAAACTAGACCGGCTTTAGAACTATCATATCCTCAGCTTTTTAACAAGCTGTAGTTTTTAAAATTTTCATACTGACTTCATTTCCAAACGTGCCCGCTTTTACCACGCTGTAGGGTTTAAGAGAAAACAAAAGTTTAAGTCCATAAAGCAGTAAAAGGAATTTATTCTTTTGGTACAAAACTTGTGAAACTGATTTAAGACTTTTTATCCTACCTCTCTACGAAGTCAACTGCCGGATCTTAATATTTTTGAAAGTGGTGCAGCGACTTCTTCCACCTGGTCTCATAAAAGTCCTTCTTGTTAGCCCGCAACCAGTTATTGACACAAACAGTAATTTCTGTGACATGACTAAACCCAGTGACAAGGCGTGAATGATTGATTATCAATATTTCCCCATTTGGAGCTATGGTAAAGAATCGATTATTAATGTGTTCACTGCAAATACCCTGTTAATCGATCCTTTCCATAGGTTTTTATGGCTGATCAATCAATTTATTGCGAAGCACGCCACGCCACTGATTATACCGCTTGCCATTAAGATACTGTTTTTTTAACTCAGAAAAAAAATGAAAATCACTCGATACTGAACGCAGAAGTATTGTTTGTGTCTACAACTGGCTGCAGGCTAACAGGAAGGACTTCGACAAGATTGGGTGAAAGAACTCACTGCACCGTTTTAAAAAATGTAAGGATCGGGCAGTTAACTACGTCGAGAAGGAGGATAAAAAGTCTTGAATGAGTTTCACAACTATTGTACCAAAAGAATAAATTTCTTTTACCTCTTCGCAGACTTAAACTCTCGTTTTCTCTAAAATCCTACAGCGTGGTAAAAGTGGGCACGTTTGAACACGAGGTCGATATGGAAAATCTGTTATTACTTTGCACAATGGGTACCAACTTTTAAACACTACCGCTTGATAGAAAGCTGAGGATATGATCATTCTAAAGCCGCTCTGGTTTTTTTCTCTAACATCAATAGTTTCAGAGATATTAAATGGGTAAACTTATCTACAAATCCACCCTCGTATTATGTTATTCTAATGTGATCTTCAATAATTCTCCATCTGCTCTTAAACGTATATTCAAGATCTTCCTCTTTAAAGTCCTCATAACTGTTTACTGTTTCATATTCACACTGCTCGTGATCTCCCCCGATCCAAAAATTTGTCCTTTTTTTTCTTTCCTTTCTTTACTTTCTTTTCTTTTCTTTTCTTTCACCCAGCAGTCATTCGTAAAATTCTGACTGCATTATTTCCTAGTCCTCAGTATTGTTGTTAGTATCTGAGATTCATCGGATAAAAACCTTTAAAAAATGGTTCAATTTTATGTATTTTAATACCAAGAAGCAAGTTACTTTCTCTTCTGGGAGATTAAGCTGTAATTTTATATGAATATCTTGATAAATACACTGACTTGTCAAAAGATATTTTATAAAATGAGCAACTGCAATTTTTGTAACCAAGTAGAGGTAGAATAATTTGTCTACTCTTGAAATCAGGATTAAAAAGAGAACGCTCAGGAATGTAGTGCTAAAAATTATTGTTTTTTATTATACAGGGTGATCCAAAAGTCCCTTCCACCCTCTCTAACTTTTTACCTAATTGAGGTAAAGATTTGAAACTTGGGGGATATTCCTAGGTCAAAAGGAGCTACTTTTTGGCCTCCCTAAAATTTTCAGGGGGCCCCCCTAGGGGGTGCAACGGCCCCCAACTTTTAATTTTTAAATGGGAAGACCCCCTTTGTGATAGCTCGTTCGAAAGAGCATAAAAAAAGAAAACTTTTCGCGCAAATCCGAAGTCAATATCTCAAACCGTTTCAAAATGGCGGCCGGTTAAAGTTCAAAATGGCCGAAAATTCACACCGGTTATTTGTCGATGGATTTGCGCGAAAATCGGTATGTAGGGGTATTTTGACACGAGAAAAACGAATTTGACGTTAGATTTTCAAAAAAACCGAAATTTCCAAAATGGCCGCCGGTTAAAGTTTAAAATGGCCGAAAATTTTCACCTCGGTTTTTTACTGATGGATTTACCTAAAACTTGGAATTTGAGAGTATTTTGGCATAAGATAAACAAATTTTAACTTAGATTTCTAAAAAAAAATCAATTTTTGGTCATTTTGAACTGTAACCGGCGGCCATTTTGGAAATTTCGGTTTTTTTTAAAAAAAAATCTAACGTCAAATTCGTTTTTCTCGTGTCAAAATACCTCTACAAACCGATTTTCGCGCAAATCCATCGACAAATAACCGGTGTGAATTTTCGGCCATTTTGAACTTTAACCGGCCGCCATTTTGGAACGGTTTGAGATATTGACTTCGGGTTTGCGCGAAAAGTTTTCTTTTTTTATGCTCTTTCGCACGAGCTATCACAAAGGGGGTCTTCCCATTTGAAAATTAAAAGTTGGGGGCCGTTGCCCTCCCAAGGGGGGCCCCCCTGAAAATTTTAGGGGGGCCAAAACTTAGTTCCCTTTGACCTAGGAATATCCCCCAAATTTCAAATCTTTATCTCAATTAGGTAAAAAGTTAGAGGGGGTGGAAGGGACTTTTGGATCACCCTGTATTGAGAACTACATACAGGAGTTATCTCTTAAATACACTCATTTAAGGATAGTTGAACTTTATTAAGAGAAAATCTAAGTAGGTATCTGGGAAGTAATTTCGAAGAAAATGTGTGGTCCCGTATAGTGCTGTAAAACATTTTTTTTAACTACCTCGGTAGATTCGAGGGTCATTTAGAAAGTAAGATCTCCTGCAGACTTTGTCATAAACTGTTAATCTCCTGCACCATGTACGGCGCATGGTCGTGCCCAGAAGCCAAGGGCTTTTAACTGCTTGGATTTCAGTGGTGATTACATTGAAAAGTTTTGAAAAGTAAAAGCAAATTGTATTATTTTTCTTGTGCTGTAAGTACTTTTCATCATCTCCTCTCACTTTTACAAAGTTCATGCTTTCTCATTGCAGTTTTTAGGTGATCAGATCGGGCAGTAAGAGTGGCAACAGAGACAAGGGAAAATGAATCCCCCAAGTGTTCCTGGGGTTCAGTTCCAGAACTTTCATGCTCAAATCAAACTTTCATGCTGGAGTACACCTAAACCATCAGTATAATCGGTTTTTTCTTGCATTAATGGTTGAAGAGAAAATCTATAGACCTTACTTCCTGGATGACCCTTGTAGATCCATTGTCTTCAATGACATCCCATTGTTTATAACATGGTCAGTGGTTTTTTTACATGAATTTTAAATTTTTTATTGAAGCTTTGTAAGATAAAATAAAATAAAGATCCTGGAATACTATGGAATAAAATGTATATTTTTAATCAAATCAGCTGGTTGGCAGCTATCTTGAATTCTATGTAAAAATTGGTCAAGTTATTTTTTGCAAGGCTGGACACTGATTCAATCTCTGCTTTGCTGTTGAGTTTTTTTAATATACTAATCTGAAACAAAACAACAATCATGTTTTTTTTTCTTTATCGGGTTGTACTTGTATCATGGTACTTACATTCCTTTTTTGTCTGATGTGAATTTTTCTTCGGTTGTCAAACTGAAACTACTTGGCCATTTCGGCTGTATTAGAAATCATCCGGTGAATTACAAAGTAAAAGGAAGTAAAACGTAGAACGAAAATAAAAACGAAAACAGAAGCTAAAACTTTAGTTCACTATCTCTGGCAGGGCGTCGCAAAACTGGCTCAGTTTCTGGCCAGTTGGTTTCCTGTTCTGACCAATTTCCTGACGCGTCGCCAAAGATAGTGCATTAATGTTTTAGCTTCTGTTTTCGTTTTTATTTTTGTTCCACGTTTTACTTTGTAATTCACTTGATGATTTCTGATACAGCCGAAGTGGCCATAGTGGTTTAAGTTTTTCAACCGAAGAAAAGTTCACATCGGGCGAAAAAGAAATGTAAGTACTATGACGAAACAACAATGTCACAATAACTAAAGAGGATTTTAATTGAAATGAAGTTGAATTGGTCTCAAAACCATAAACGAATTTTGACTTGCGAATACATTTGTCTAAAGGTAAATGATGTGTAGAACACGATGCCTAAATTCAAAACACAACAAAGTTTTTAACTCAGAAACCGAGAAATTTGCAGTTCAAAAAGTGCAGTTTTCCCTCAAATTTAACTCGCTTCAGTTTCGCGCCGAACTAAATTATGTCATCTGGTACCAATCAGAAGCAATCATGGGATTCTACAACTTCTGCCTAATGTCTTTCTATTCCTGGCATTTAAAAATAATAGAAAAGTAGAAACTATATACTCGGAATCGAAGAATCGAATCTCATTCATGTTATCTGTAGGTAACAAGCAACAATTCCTCCTTGAAGTGCGTTTTATTTAAACAAACATCGGTGGAAAGTGAGAGGAGATAGCAATTTGACTGCTGCAGTAGATCACTTCCATAACTTTCCTGCCATTACGGTGCATTTGAAATTCTCTTGAGTCTTTAGACTTTTGGAGAACAGGCCTGTCAGGGAATTTGGCTCTAAAAATGCATATCTAATAAATCACAACGTAATCTACTCACCTGGTACTTACAGAATATTCAATGTTAAGTACAAGAATTAGTAACCCATTGTGCTAAATGCACTACAGAATTCTGCAGATTTTTACTGTATTTTAAAACTGATCTAGCTCTTCAAACGATTCTTTCCTTCAAAGATAATAAAAGAAAAAAAGGGTCACAAATTACTGCAATAACCATCTTTGGTGGTTATGAGGAGCATATTTAGTAAGCTAGTCAACACCAGCCTTTCTTACAATACGGGTTACGCCCCCTGATCAAGTGATTACTTCACGGTCTAACCCCATCCCCCTCCCCCCCCCCTAAGTGCTTTACCTTTGGTGTTATACGTTACGCGTTACTCTCTTGATTTCATATTATAGGTAAGATAAATTTATAACCTCTTTTACAAGTTTTGTGTTTGCCAAGGTATACACACGACTGGCCAAGCTGTTGAGTTTGTCTTCATCTGCTGTAGTAAATGGAATTTTTGTCAGGTGTAATATTTCAATATCAGATGGATGAACTCCTAACCAGTGAATTTCTGGTACTGCCAGCATTTGCGCGTGTTCAGACATAGTCTGAAAGAAAGGGAAAAATACATTTTTAAAACTGCTTTTTTAAAACTTGCTGTGTTCAGCAAAATGGGCATAACTTCAAAAATTGAAAAAATTGAGTTAGCCTTGATATCAATGTCTAGAAGGAGTGTCAAAAACACTATTGAAATCAGATTTTTGAAATCACCTTCAGATGGCAAGGAACAGGATTTGTGTGAGTTACATCTCAATTAGAATCTGTGCACTTTTCGAAATCAGTACACTGTCACAATCAATGTACGCTTTTCAAAGTTCCATGTGATCAATGATTGGTTCAAGGGCAGACCAAGAAAAATGCAGTTTACCTTCCCATCCAAGGTAGTTCTAAGAAATTGTCATTCTAAAATTAAAAGTTTCACCAGCATTTCTTCTGTCTTAAAATTTTAGGAACCAAAGCAAAACTCTCATACGTTGTCATGAATGATATAATATTCAACACTTACAAGTGAGCCATAGCGGTAGACACACATAATTTCCATCCCATGTGGATCAGCATCGGCAATCATAAAGACTGGAATCTTCAAGGTGTTTGTTAGAAGCCGCACCAACAAGCGTGTATTCAAATCAGGAAATCCCTTCCCCTGAAAATGTTTATTTTGCCATGAGTTCAGAAAAATATTCGAGCAAGACCAAGGCTGCATTCAAAGTGATCTTACTGTTCAATATTCAGCGTTATTCATCTTATCTTCCTCTCTCTAAGCTTATAATTCATGCAAGACTCACAAAAAATGTCAAGATCCAGAGTAAGATACCAGGACTCATCGGAATTGTCGCAAAAATACCTCCTGAATGAATAAAAATCGTAATGAACAAAGCTTCTCGATTGCCAAAAAAAATTTGTAATTTATGAACAAAGCTTCTCGATTGCCAAAAAAATTTGTAATTTTTTCGATCATTAAAATAAAAAAACGTCACCTCATGACCTTAATTACTTGGCAAAAATATTTACCAACGCATGATGGCCAACCCAAGACCTTCATTTGCAGTCCTGTGGTCTCAGTAACCTACTACAAACAGGGAACCAGATATTATCGCTGGCGCATCGTATTTCTTGACACAGGACATCCCACTCCCCCTAAATCATTGATAGTGAAAATAATGTGACAAAATAAATCCTGTCCCTTCTCTTTTCTCAGTATTCCTTCATTTATCTTTCTTTACCTTTGTTGGCTCCTAAATTTTTAGACGTTAGTTATTTTCTCCAAGCATTGGCAAAGAAACACTAATATAAAGTATGGTTCATCTTCTTCCTCTACTCACAGTGATTAAAATTAATTTGTAGCGGTCCAAAATTTTTTCATCTAAAAGCGTTTGGAAAGTTGCATCTTTTTCCACTATCAGGATGAATTTTGCCTTTGAAACAGGTTTCAATGATAGTACATCTTGAGGTATGAGTACACCTTTGTGTAAACAAATTGGAGGAACATGATTAAAATTAGAATTTAAGTCAAAAGAAAAATATATTGAGAATGGTTTTAAATTACAAAACAACAAGAATGAGAAATCAAGAGGGCAAAATGATGTCCAATTTTTTGTTTGATTATGATGATGCTTTTGTTCTCCCAAATTCTACTTATTGATACAGCCACTATACAAGACCAAGATCAGTGTAATAGACCACATATATTATATGTAAGCATGAAAGTCTAATTCAGATCCCGGTAGGTAAATGAAAATAGGTATTGATTAATTTTTGTACAGATATACATCTAACGATATATATCTAATAACGAGTAATATCAAGCTTACTTAGAGCAGTAACGGTCAGTCTTCATATTGATAAAACACCCATTGTACAAAAAAGGTTTTAGCGAGCATTTATAATGTTTTTTTTTTTTTGTGTGTGTAAAAATAGCTAGTGGAGTAGCTTTCAGCTTGCAGTTTGAATAGACTATCAGATTTAATCAGTACTTATGTCTCATAGACATTTACCTCCTGGACTCAGGCAGTCAATAGTATCTTTAGTATTAGTCTGCAAGACTAGATGTCCAGCTACCAGACCTTTTGATGTCCCAAAAACTCCTAATTGCCAGGGTGGTGTGTTGAGAAGACAACATATTATTTTAATTGCTTCATCGACTATATCCTGGCTTTGCAGCAATTCAACATCCTTGTAGTATAGCTCCCTTAAAAAAGAACATTTAATTTAGTTACCTCTCCTCGTTCAAGGATTTGATATTAATCTGGAGAAATGGAGGACTAACGAGTCACCATAAGTAAAGAAAAATACATCATATCAATGGCGAAAAATATGTGCCTCAATCTCAGTGTTGAAAAAGCTCTAATTAAGTTATATTATCTGCAAGGAAAACTATTTAATGAAAATGTTTTCTCGCAATTTTGTATGTGTTTTTTTTTTTTCTTTTTTTTGAAGTGAAAAAAGTAACCAGAAAATTCAATAAAAGCATTCGACTAGTTTTTCCGTAAGATAATAAAACATGAAAGGAGACTTACAACGTCACAATATGCTGAGATAGGTACATATTTTTAAGTTCAGCCATCAATATCAATGGCTAACTTGGCATCAGCACAACTCAATAAGAGTACCTCCAAATTTCTTCCATTGCTTTTTCTTTTTGAAGAATCACATGCTAACTTCTTTTGAATTGTTTGCAGATTATTATTCATACAGAGAAGAAAGATAATAATAATTGTCAAGAAATTAGTCACGTTCATTAGCTTTTTAATTAAAAATAATGTATGCTGGGAAGATTTCAGCATTGTGAACAGTTACCTAGCTTCAGAATTGCAAATTTTAGAAGAGATGCGCCTCTTGAACTTTACATATTATTTTTTTAACAACATCATCCAAACGTAAGAAAATATGCTAAAACAGCATAATCTAATAAAGTTAAAAAAATAACGTCATGTTATGCTCACCGGCGTGTACTTGTCAGTCCTTGATTAAGCATCTGATAAATCTTAGAGAGCAAATGGACGATAATCGTGTATTTTCGTTGACTTCGTTCTGAGTCAAACACAACTTTGCATGTGGTTACCTCTTTATCTGGCTTCAAAATCAATCTAAAAAAATATTTTTAAAAAAAAAACAAAAACTTAGCTATCGGTAAAGGCTTGTGAGCTATTACCTAATTATTTTTCAGAGCTTTAATTGTTCTAAAAAAACCTCTCGTTTTAACCTCTATTTAAAATCTAAAAAATTAATAAGAGTGGGTTTTAGTTTACTAACATAAAACAGGTTTTTTCTTATGCTCAAATCATTTTAGGCGCTCCTACTACCACCTGGAATATTAGGTATGCTTACTCTCACAGTTCAGGATCCAAAATGAAGGGAACTATCCAGAGCTGTCTAGGCTGAACTTGAATATAAACTTACGAGTAAATAAAATTAAATTGATTTTTCTTATCTCTCTACTTCATAAAGTAAATATACATTATAAAATTACTATTCTTATCTTTATATGTACATATTGTTAGTGCTCAAATTTTTTTCTACAGGCAAAGATGAAACTTTACTCAAGACTCACTGGCTCCTCTGCTTAACTAGTCTTGAAAAAATTAATTTACTCATTTAATGTTTTACTTGAGGCTATTTAATCATTGTTCAGAAGAAACTGAATATTTCCTCCCTTTTACTGGAACATTTTACAAGCAGGTATTTATATGCATAGTAATCCAATTATTATAGGTACTCTTGTTTAAATTTTTTTAAGAACGTTGGCTGCTCAAAGACAGGTCTCGCCAGACAAAAATTCTGCAAGACCAATCATTTATCCTTTGAATTTGAGGCAACTTTTATTCTTCATGGTTTAGAAAGAGACTCTATTTTATCTTTTTTTGTGTGAGTAATTACCTATGTCAGTAGGTATTCGTGTGATGTCTCCGGCGTTTACTCAGAGGGACAAGCTGTACAATTATAGTCATACAATAATGTTTAACACCACCTACTGCAAATAATACGAAAAAATAAGGGAAGTACGCATCTTTTGTTATGAATTTTTAACTGTACCAAAGTTGGTATTGATCACTGGGAGTTTCATGCTGCATAGGTTGACCTTGGTCCTTTGGTCCAGTTTTAAGATACAAGGCAATTGTCTTTCACTGACCATCAGGCCTCAAAAGCTATACTTTTATAGAATGTAATCAAGTTTAATATGTTGGGTACTTCAAGTTTCAATTTCCTGCTACATTAGCATCAATCCTCGCTAGGTACCTACAACAGCATCATGAGTTCGAAATTTTCTAGGCACCTAAAATTCCTGTGCAAAGGCGGACATATTTCTCAAAACTGGAGGTAAGGAAGATACTTTAAAGTATTACAAAACTTTAAAAAAAGGAGAGAAAAAATTGGACTCATTTTAATATCAAGGAATGTAAGCAACTTACACATACAGCTGTAGGTACGGATACGAAAGGCTTTACCTGTCTGCGTAAGTGCAGTTGTCCCAATCTCGGAAATTTTTTACATCGAGTCTGAGAGGTTTTCCTTTTTGAACTGATTCAACTACATCCAGAATCACACCTTCAATTTTCTTCATTATGGTTTTCCTAAGGGATTTGAAGTGTATGTATTTTAAGTGGTACCTATTCAGAATTTTTATCATAAAAGAGGAATTACAGAGGCAGGAGCCGAATGGCAAAGAGCGAAGGATCTCTTTCTCGCCAGAAATTGGCCTCCATTGGTGTACTTAATGATTGTATAGGCGGATCCAGACACCTCAAACGGAGGGATACGTAAGGAAGGTCCGGGGGCCTTCCCCAGATAATTTTTAAGTTTTTGAAGCATCTAATATGCAGTTTGAGTCAATTTAATTCGTCATGAATAATTACCAAATGGACTACATTTTGCAATTTGGACTTATAGATTCTACCCCGGTTTAAAAACAACGTATGTGCCATTAGTTTCCCTATGCACATAAGTGTTTCTTCAGAAGAGCCAGAATTTATAGTTCCGAATTGCAAAATGCAGTCCAAATGTACCTAAGCGTTTGTCCTTCTCTTTTTATTCCTCCTTTTTCACGGGGAAGGGAAGGGGTGTAAGTCCCCTGCGCAGACCCCCCCACCCCTGGATCCGCCTGCAGTGATAGCTCTACAAACAAGAGATACCTACCAGGTTCAATTCTTGGCCATAGTGGCCTATAAGTAATTCTGTAAGGTTCTGGAGAGAGTGATGAGTACAATAATATGAAATATTACAAATATATAATTACAGAAACCCCACTTTAGGAATAAGTGGCACTTGGGAACTGTGCGTCCACCCTAATCCTAGTGACGAATTTCTTTAATGTCAAAACGTGCCCAAATTATAAGATGAGACTAGAAAATCTTACTTTTTGACCGGTTTATCCTCGTAGTCCGCATGGTTTGCTTTTCGTTTAATTTCCTCCGTGAGAGTCCGTAAGTTTCTCTCGAATTCTTCCTGAATATCCATCACTCACGGAATTGTGGCTCTACGTAGAGGATAATTATTTTCTAAGCAAGCAGGCTCAAATGTGAATAAAGTGAAATGTAGGACATTTAGACCATATAAGCATTTGAATTAATGTTTCCAGCTGCTCGACAGGGACCACGTCACATGATACCTAAGGTATATTATGTTCTGTACTTCAAATTCACTGTTTCGCACACCCGCGCAAAGGGTGGCATGAAGCATAAGAAAGAAATGAAAGATTGGAAATTTCAGTGAAATATTTTATGAAATTTCACGAGGCTATGAAATATTTCATATATTTTAGGGGAGAGCATAGGTATTTATTAACGTTGAATTTGAAGTGTGATTGGTGAAGTTAGATGAAAAGTCACTGTCTCTCACACTCAAGGTAGGTTAAGTTGGCAGCGCTGTTTTGTTTGCCTTTAATTTACACAGTTGCCAGACATTTCCCAATAGACTAGGTACTTTAATGTCAGCTAGGTTCCTATGTTACAACCATTCCTGACTTCTTCAACCAATCGGATCCCAACTTAGTAGCTCTATCCTTATTTTCGCACTTATACTGCATGTCATTCGCTGATTTTGAGCTCCAATGATCTCATGGCGCATCTTTGACAAAAAAAATCGGGCTCAGCTGTTCATTTACGTTAGTTGCCCCAACGCATTGACACGGGGGAGGGGGGTGGGTTTGCTGTTTGCCTTTTACATAGGTACCCAACACATTTTTAAATGCAGATTTTCATACTCTTTCATCAACTATGCGTACCACATTACCTCGTCATCATCTTGCACGATTCCTATCTAGGGATTGAATCGTCACGCTGCCGCGTCGCCCTTCTAGCTGCAAATTGAGGAATTGGATGCAAAAAGAGCATTTCTTGAAAAACCTTGTGTTGGGATAAAAGCGATTGAAAATTTGAATGTTATTTCCGACAACATGTTGGGCCTGATGTTGTTCAATTGTTTTTTCCATGAAAATGTAAGTCTCAAGGAAGTGCTGACGGTCAGAATCAGAATTCTTTTGTGAAAGTACCTAATTTTTTGGTTGAAACAAGTAGGTAGTTTAAGCTGCCGAATGAATGTGCCCTTTATGCATACTTAGAACGAAAAAAGTCATTCAGAATAGGTATGTTCTCACTATTAATACCAGGCCCGGACTTGGGGCGTGTGCAGGACGTGCGGCGCACACGGGCGTCAGCCTTTGGGGGGCGCCACGAAAGAAGAAGAGAGGGAAAAAAAGGGGGAAAGGAAAAGGAAAAAAAGGGAAGAAAGGACAAGGGGAAAAAAGGAAAAGGAAACAAGGTGGGCAGTGAAAGCAAGGAAGAAGGGGGGAAATGGAAGGAAAATGGAGGCAAGAAAAGTGAAAAGAGAGTCCGCGAGAAAGGGGGGGGGCATAAAAACCATAGACAAAATATAAACAGAATTGCCGTCTAAAGGTAAATTTTCAGGACAAAAACTCCATCTGGTCCATAGACGGTCAGGCGCCCCTTGACCCTAAATTTGCGGCTGTACCTACAGAAATACAAGAGTAGGCATGTAGTAAGGGGGCGCCATAAATCCATCGAACAGGAGCCGACATAGCATTTTAGGCCACGTCCGCCATCTTGGATTTGAGAATTTTTAAACATAGTAAAAATTCGAGTTTCTGGTTGAAAAATACCCTCACACACCGAGTTTCAAAAAAATCCGTCGAACAGGAGCCGACATAGCATTTTAGGCCACGTCCGCCATCTTGGATTTGAGAATTTTCAAACATAGTAAAAATTCGAGTTTCTGGTTGAAAAATACCCTCACACACCGAGTCTCAAAAAAATCCGTCGAACAGGAGCCGACATAGCATTTTAGGCCACGTCCGCCATCTTGGATTTGAGAATTTTCAAACATAGTAAAAATTCGAGTTTCTGGTTGAAAAATACCCTCACACACCGAGTTTCAAAAAAATCCGTCGAACAGGAGCCGACATAGCATTTTAGGCCACGTCCGCCATCTTGGATTTGAGAATTTTCAAAAATCGACTAAAAATTCGAGTTTCCCGTCAGAAAGTACCCCTGATCCCGCGGTTTACAAAGCTCTAACGAACAGAAACGGAGGCCAGAACCGGGGCTCATTTTAGGCCACATACAACATTTTGGAGTTGAGAATTTTAAAAAATTGACTAAAAATTCGAGTTTTCCGTTGAAAAATACCGTGTGATACAGAGTTTCACGAAACTCGAACGAACAGAAACCGAGATAGCATTTTAGGCCACGTCCGTCATCTTAAATTTGAGAATTTTCAAAAATTGACTAAAAATTCAATTTTCCCGTCAAAAAGTACCACCAGACACCAAATTTCAGAAAAATCCATCGAACAGGAGCCAGGATAGCATTTTAAGCCACGTCCGTCATCTTAAATTTGAGAATTTTCAAAAATTGACTAAAAATTCAATTTTCCCGTCAAAAAGTACCACCAGACACCAAATTTCAGAAAAATCCATCGAACAGGAGCCAGGATAGCATTTTAAGCCACGTCGTCATCTTGGATTTGAGAATTTTCACAAATTGACTAAAAGTTCGAGTTTCCCGTCGGAAAATACCCCGTGACACAGAGTTTCACGGAACTCGTACGAACAGAAACCGAGATAGCATTTTAGGCCACGTCCGCCATATTGGATTTGAGAATTTTCGAAATTGACTAATAATTCGATTTGCCCGTCGGAAAATATCCCGTGATACAGAGTTTCACGAAACTCGAACAAACAGAAACCGAGATAGCATTTTAGGCCACGTCCGTTATCTTAAATTTTAGAATTTTCAAAAATTGACTAAAAATTCGAGTTTCCCGTTGAAAAATTCCATCTGACACCGAATTTCAGGAAATCCATCGAACAGGAGCCAAGATAGCATTTTAAGCCGCTTCTGTCATTTCGGATTTTCGAATTTTGAATTTTGACAGATTTTGATTTAAAACGCGCGTGATACCCAAAATCGAAGCTCAGATTCGAATTTATCCTTAAAAATCGATGAAATTTCATGTATCATGCTCGAGCATAGCGTGAAGGAAAGAGACGTAACGTAGGCATACTGATTCGAGCATATGAATGCAACGTGGCAACATGGGTAGTGCTTAGTGGGTCAGTGGAGGAGGAAGAATAAGAATTTATCGTGAGGAATTCCTCGCGACGAAACCAAACGCTTAGCCGGCGCTAAGTGGGGCCTCCCCGTTCGGTTTCACTCGGGCGACAGGCGGCGGCGCAGTTCAAAGGGGAAGTACGACAGAATCTATAACCTTTTTCCTTCACGCTATTCTAACATATGATACATGATATCTCATCAATTTTTCACGAGAAATCCGAATCTGAGCTTAGATTTTGGATATTACGCGTTTTAATCTATTGAAATCATAGGAGAAATTATACAGAATTGTCCTTGAAAATTGATCACACATTAGTGTTTTTTTATGTCATTAAACCTCTTTCCTTCACTTTTTTTGCGACCCCCCAAAATTTGCCACCCTAAGCCTTTTCGCACGGCCTCAACGGCCTATTCATAAATCTGGCCTTGCTCCGGAGCAGATATACCATATGGTATCACGCCAAAATGAAGGAAAATCTTATCTTTTAAACCGTCTCAAATTACTGATGATTATGAATATTCTTGGGCATTTTGCTCGCACTGTTGAATGCGAAAATCAAGAGCACAACCAGGGGCGGATTCACCTACTTGCCGCCCATGGGCCGCCTGTATTTTGCCGCCCCCTTCTCATTCGTTTTGAAACATCAATAAAAACCATCAAGTGAACGTGCCGGAGGGGTAGGGGTGCATAAGACGCGTTTATTCGTGTTGGACACATTTTTTTTGCGAAAGCCCTATGTCAACACTACCAGCAAAATTTCACGGAACTTTGCGCGAAAGTTACGTTCCGTAAACCTATCTCTGTGTAAACAAGGCCCTCCATTTATAAGAAATGAACGATAAAATTATGAAAGAACAAACATAAATGTGGTTTAATAATTTTAACTTCCGCCGCCGCGCCGCGTTGACCGCACTGTGCTTTTCGCAATGCGTGAGGTATTTCTACAGTCTTGTAGGCGTTATGCGTTTCACGTCGAGCGGTGCTGAACGCACTGTGTTTGACGCAATGCGAAATTACTGTACTCTCAGGAAATGAGAGATTTTGCCGCCTTTTCTCGTACGTATTTTTTTCTGAATCCGATTTGCTTTATACGTTCACTTAAAAAAATCGCAAAATTTGCCGCCCCCTAAATTTGCCGCCATAGGCCGCGGCCCATGTGGCCACCCCCTTAATCCGGCCCTGAGCACAACTATTCCAACTCCGAACTAATGCTGACTTCATTTCCGCGTGTTGTGGTGGGTATCTTGCAGAAATGAAGGAAAATATTAGCTTTTTACCCGCCTAAAATTACTGACTTTCATGAACGTTGGCATCGTGCTCTCATCGTTTTATAGAAATCAAGTGCGCAAGTTCTCTGAGTAGGTTTAATGTGGCAAACTCCTTTGAGAGACCTGCTGCGTCCGATTTTCTCGTCTAAATCGGTCTACAAGTTCATCGGAGATAAATTTAATGGAATGCCTACAAAACGTTCCAAACACCCGTAGGTATATTTTCTCAGGAGGCTCCTGCGTGTCTCAGGATAGGGCAAAATCGATTTTACACCTCGAACTACGTCCCAATCGGATCGGCTATAGTCATTTTCCCACGGGACCATCTTGGTTCCAGCTCGATCGGAGAACTTTCGATTTTGACCCCGAAAACTTAGTCCATGTACTTAATCCCTGTCGATTTTTTCAGTGATTTATGCGGTAAAAATTCGTGATTAGTGTCGAATCCTAGGTAGTTTGAGGCGTAAAATCGATTTTGCTGCCTAAGACTCGCAGGAGCTTCCTGAGAAAATATACGAGTATTTTGAACGATATCTCCGATGAACTTGTGGAGCAATTTAGACGAGAAAATCGGGCTCAGCTGGTCATTTCCAAGGGAATTCGCTTCAATCAGCCAGATCAGAGAACTTGCGCGCTTGATTTTTATTCTTGACGATGAGAGCACGATGCCTACGTTCATAAATGTCAGTAATTTGAAACAAGTGAAAAGCTGAGATTTTCCTTCATTTCCGCGTGATATCACATCACATACCTACCTACTCCGGCCGCGTCCAAATGGTTTCGCACTTGATTTCCGCAATTCAGCGCTGTGAGCATACTGCCTACATTTATAAACTGTAGGCAGTAATTTGAGACAGGTGAAAAGCCAAGATTTTCCTTAATTTCTGCGGCATACCACATCACGCAGCAATGGAAGTTGGCACATTTGGCATGAAGACACTTGGCGATCTAAGTTAAGCAATCATGTTCATATTGAATCAACCCTTAGTCCTGATAAAATTATAAAGTGATTCAGCGGTGATCATTGCTGAATCACTCCATTGATAGAAAAACCCTGATCACGGGTGTTGTTATACAATATACATGTTTAAATCTTAAGCTCTAGAGGCAAGGCCAGTCGGGGACCTCAAAAAAAGAATTTCTCAATTCATTCATACAACTAACTAAACAGTCTCATAATAAAAAATTATTATCAAAATTGAATCTCCATGGAGCAATAAAGAACTGAGTACCTACTGTTATACCTGTTATACCTAGAGTCCTATCATAAATTGTCCAAATTAGCAAACTGATTCGGCAGAAGCTTAAAATTCTTAAACAGCATATCTCCGACTTTCAAGCTGTGAGCCATTACTGTTCAAGATGTGATCAATAATGAAATAATTAATTGAAAAATTCATGGTTGAATTGTTGAATCAAAATGAATAGAGGAGTAATGATGCAAAAGAGAAAAATAAAAGGTAAAGCGAGGATATTTTAGGAATATAGGTTTATTGAATAATAAAAAGGAAACTAAGTAAACCTTTTTTAAATATTAGTTCTACAATAATGTGTAATTTTGCACATAAAAAACAATGCGAAAATATAACATTGATTCTGGCCACTTAACAACGACGAACTCTGTTAAAAGTTCCCCGCTCTGGAGGAGATTTCTAAAAGAGATTCATAGGACAACAACCCCACTGCAGCAATGATCACTGTCACTGGCCACAGCAGTCAGATCTTAAAATACCCGCCACAGAAGTTTGATTAAAAAAATGCATAAAATTAAAGAAGATACGTATTTGAGGGCAAAAGCAAGCATCACGTTTACAAATCTAAGTTGCAGTTGCACCTCGAAAAAAATAATGTCTGGCCACATCTTAAGAATTGTAGGCCATGTCTTGCAGCTAAACAGGTGCTCATGCATGGTACATCTAAAAATCTTGGCAAAAATTATTATGCTCCTTTTCTTATTATGTACTGAAGTTATTTTCTAAGAGACCATGTAGAGATGTGCTTTTTCAGTTGCATTCTTGTTGGTCAAAGAACTGTTTTTACATAACCCTTAAATTTTAATAAAAAATTTAGCTAGCCACAGGGAGAAAAATGATGGATATTGAAGATATTTTTGTCAGTCTAAGAATTATTTTTTTTCATTTCACAAACCAACGACAATATCAACTCATAGGTAGTTTTCCTTTCCTTCTTAAAAGCTCCGAATTAAAATATCAAGGATGAGATCAGATGATACTTCTGTGTAAAGCCTCTACAGGATAACGCTAGTTCATTTTTATATTCTCCTTTTGATACATCAACTATGCAAAAGAAATTAATAATGTTTCTGAAACCTTTCTGTTGTAAGTAATTTAAAATTAACTGTTCACATTTCAAGTATTTGGAAAGGGTACCTATTAATTGTTTACATTTGACAGTGATTGAAAGTTAGAATTTGACCCAGTAAACTTAAACTTACAGCAAAATAAATGTAAAGAAAGAATTATTGGAAGAATACAAAGAAAAGCTGAGAAAAAGTATAGAATACAATAATTTGATAGAGAGTAAATAAAATATGTCAAATTGACATAATTGAGAAACGTTTTTTCATGATTACCTAGCAAATATATTTTTGAAGCAGATTTTTTTTTTTGGTAAGTTGTAGGTTTGAAATTTGTAATATCTGAAAGGAAAAAACTGATCATATGATGTGGAATAGGTTAGGTAAAAAACAATTAGACTCTCCTGAGAAGCACCCTCTCTTTGAGGAATAAACATTTGCTTACATTAGAATGAGACAGCTACAACAATTGGACCGAATACAGCATTGCAATAACATCATGTCAGTCTTTTTTTTCTTTAAAAAAAAAAAAAAATTCTTAAAACAAATTTGAACCTGTGATAACTGACTTCTATCATTAATCCTAATATTTACAATGATCTGTATGGTAGGCTTTCCTTAGTGGAAAAGTCTGAAACGTAATCGGTAAAATATTCATAAATGCGAAGATATTAGGATCCAATTGTTCCAGAAAAATGAGGAGACTCACGGAAGGAAATACCAACAACATCAATACCAAAAATTCAGACAACTTTGACAGTAGGCTACAAAATTATGGTGAGTTACAAAGAGAGGTGTGTAAGAAACAGTAAAGAAACTTTTGACAAGGAGTACAATTCTGATATTTAACCTAACTGATTTAATTATTTCAAGCGCTTGTCATTGAAATGTTCTGCTTTATTGTGTCATTTCATAAAATACAAAAGTTTACTTAGCTTCAAAACAGGATTAATCGTACTTTGAGTCTGAAAAGATGCATTGCTCAAAGACATTTGAAAGAAATGACAGCATATAAAAACTGTATGTTAAAGGTAACCCACTCGGAAACTACCAAAAATAACATTACATATGATTACAAACATAAAAAAACGTTGCGAAAACGTTGCTGCAACGTTAATTTTGGCGGTGACTTTGTGACAGCATTCTCGTAAATTTTTGCGGGGTGGGAATCTAAGTGATTGAGCATTGGCAACATTTTTTTCCCCTTTAAATTTAAGTGCATAAAATTACTTAAGTAAATACATAAAAATAAATAAAAATAAAAAATCAAATTAGGGAAAACAAATATGAGTTCAAAGGATAATAAAATTTGCATTATATAAACCAAAATTCCATTATAGTTTCATTTGTACATGGGAGACATAAAAAATTTTAACTGTAATTTGCAAACTGATACATTTTATTCAAGTGACAAAATTAGAAGCATTGAACCAGTGGAGAATTCGCATATGTCAGAAATTTGATGAATTTCATTTTTAGGCGGAAACTGTTGAGAATATTGGGCACGAGGATGCTAAATACATAAGAGTCGCTATCATGGCACTCTTTGGCGCTCTGCAACGCCAAACTGCCACAAAACTTAGTCCTCCCACAACCCATCAGGGAGTTGGCACTCTTGAGAATGTTACTGATTTCTAAATTAAATAATTATTAGAGAAGATATGACAAAATGACCTAAATCTGCTGGAATACATGTGTGTAAATGAAAAATATCGCCTAATTATAAATTTAGAGGCAGTAAATTTTCTCACTTTTTTACATATTTTTTTACAATTTTCCAAATCAAAAACATTAGGAAAAAATGCTGCGTGCATGGCTCAAAAAGCACTTTCAGAGGAAGAAATAAAATTTTTGTGTGCAAATTCTCCATTGAGATGAATGCCAAAATTCCTGAGATCAAGCATGGCTCAGTAAATAATTCATATGACTCCCAAGACTAGTGGGATGAATTAGAGACAGAAAGAAAATTATATTAAATTCATAATATGATGGGTGTTCTGATCTACAAAGCAATTTGACTTACTCTAAGACAAATCAAACAATGAAAGATAGGCTTTAGACCACATGTATGAAGGAGGCTTCATCAGTCCAATTATGAGAACTAACAAGAAAGTAATAAATGCTTGTAAAACTTCCAAGAATGGTTACAGCTTTTCCAAAAACTTAGAGGGAAATGAAACAAGAAATAATTACCTTCAAAACGTTGTATTACTTTTTTAGGGAAACCACCTCTTGAATCGGGGCGACATTGCCAGCTTTAAGCAAGATTTTTCATGCCATCAGCGAGGTATTCTGTTGTTCTGCTCTCTAGCCAAGATCACACAGCCTCTTTGGTTTCATCATCCGAGACGCATTAAGGACTTCTGAGATGCTATTTAAAATTTGGGAACAAATAAAAATTGCAAGTAGCAAGATCAAGCTGAGCGTACGGTGTGGTAATGTCTCAAGTTCCAGTTTTGTGAAGGCTTTCTTGATCCTGTGAGATGTAACTGAAGTCTAAGACATGACCACATCCTACACAAAGCTCGTACTTTGCTCCTTACGATTAATAAATGATGAAACATTTTAAGTGTCACATATGATAGAACCAAAGAAGCTGTACAATCTCAGCTTAGAAGCAGAACATTAGAATAACTCACTTAAACAGCATGAAAAAACTTTTGCAACTTTGCCAACACTAATATAGTGTTGGCAAAGTTGAGCCAAATCCGAAGTCAAATCCGAATTCTATAAGAATTCGGATTTGACTACTTTGAAAATTAATACACCATTTTAAAGGTAACTATATCTGCATTCGTTTGCATTTTTGTTTTTGGAAAACTATTTAAACCATTCTTGAGATAAGGTGTGCATTACCTACTTCCCATTCAGCCCTTGTGTATTTGATCTTTCAAAATCTATTGACTATTCTGTTTGAAGAATCTATGAATATTTTGAAGTGCACTGCAAAGGCGATTTGATTAAAGATTGAAAAATAATTTTTGAGCTGGAAGTCTAGGCATTTCATGTTTATTTAGATGAATCTTTACACAAGTGTAGAGAATTTCAAACAATTATAGAGCAAGATATAAATGCTCGAAGAAAAAAACGTGGAAACGAACTCAAAATTCCAGCCTTCCGATTCTTTTTCAACAGATTCATCAAGATTGAGACAACGCTTGATCTACTATGGGCTTTGCATGAATTACCAGCTTAAATCAACAAAAATCTACTTTACAGTAACTGTGAATAAAACTTTAATCTATCTGTAAACATTCTATTTTAACCATCCAACAGAACAATAAACAAAATTATGAGGATTAAAAATATAAAATTTTCAGCAGAAGTTATGTCTTCGACTACAAAGCTGATTGTAAAACTTTCATCAGTTCCGAGTTGAGCTGATTGTCAAACTTTGGATCTACTGCCATCAGGTTAGAGGTCTGCCCCATTGAACTGAGGTAATTATTCGGTGGCTCGGGTTCTATCGAGGATTTCATTCGGCTTAGTTTTTCAGTCTCGTTTTTGAGGGCTACCTGGAATCATACAAAGACAAACACAATAAGTAAGTTAATTAAAAAGCATAAGATTACTATGGATATCCCAAAGATCTACTACTTGAAATTTAGTTGTTCAACAACAAAAACGCACAAGCAAGTTCTCAAAAATGCCTGATTTATACATTTGTATTCAGATGTGGTTATGCGATTGAGGAAACTTAGCTTCTACTTGCTCAAGACTAGGTACCAAGGAGGCACATAAATTTTTGTGCACTACTAACAGATCTCTGCCATTATCATTATTCACTATTCCCACCCTTTTTAAAACCAAAGAAAATGTATAATGTAGGTATTGAGAGCTGCAGTCCACAAATAATGTTATTGATGGCGAAAAACATTAAGCCTCTGGACTTCAGTCCAAAAAAACAAACCCGTCTCTCACACACATCACAATAAATATTACTTTATGACCTAAATACAGAGACTATAATATTCACATTAATGCATTAAGAGTGACAAATCATCAGGCTTATATCTTAACTTGGTTTAGTAAGAACCATAGATTCGTTCATATTGTTTCCAGTGCCCACAAAAAGGACGAAAAAAGTTCCTTCAATTGGTGGTACTCTCTAACCTCGAGTTCCAGGCCAAAGAAAAGGCTAAGCCTCACATTCAGTTCTATAATTTATGAAACAAAGACTGTCCTATTTCCACATGAAGCAGTTAATACCTACTTCAATCTCAGAGGCAGACAGCTACAAGGAGCATACCTACTGAAGAAAAAATGTTTAGCTTTGTTCTAAAGTGCTACATCACGAATTCATCATTTACCTTGAATTTTACTCTAAAGCAACTATCTCCTTCTTTAGAAATAGAATAAGGCATCGTAACAAGTCATTATTGTTAACCAGTATTATTTTTTGTTGGTATTCCATTCATACCAATGTACCTAAGACTCTTTGAAGAGAAAAATTGTTGAAAAGGGTTTCCATAATTTCTTTATTTTCCGAATTCCTGACTTTTTTCGGTTTTTCCTGACACTGAAAATTTCAAATTCCCTGACTTGACAGTTAAAAAAAAACTTCCACTTAAATTTTCATAATTTAATTTATTCTGACTTTCTTTAAACGCTGCTCGCAAAATTCCCTGCTTTACCCAATGAATTTTCTGACTTTTCCAGGTCCCTATAAATTCCGGAGTTTCCAGGTTTTTCGGACCGCTGGAAACCCTGTGATTAACATCAATCAACCCCAACATAAATGTACTTACTCAGCAGCTTAATTTGACTATTAACTACTTCATAAGGATCATCACTTTTTGAAGACTGTGAAATGTAAATAAATTCCCGTAAGTTCTTTGGGAGAAGGAACGTCAGTGGTAGTTTCCCACTATGTTCAACATTTTTTGATAGAATGAATTTAAATCAAGCAATACATTTTTAGAATTTGAGTCCCTGAATTTATGTTTCACATTTGTTTGATTTATAAGAAGGGCTGTCAAAGGCATAGAGTGAAGCTAAAAATAAAATAGTATGTTTCTCATTAGTTAATAATAGGAAAAAAATCACTTTTCCCAGCACTAAATTGCTAGCAAAGCAAATATTTATTTCTTTCCACAGATAAGCTGCTTCCTTCAACAAGGGCAAATTTTTCCCACCATCCCATCGGATATACTGGAGATCAATTAATGAACAACTTAGATTTACTAACAAGTCACAGGTATGTGATCTCTGAGAGTAGTTAACTTCATTTTCATTTGATTACTTAATGTGTTATGGACTAGTATGATAACTACACACATATTTTTCAGAATTAACTCAATGCAAGGATCTCACTATATATATACATATAAACAGGAAAATAAGCACTATACTCTAGGCCCAAAGGGCGGGGCTAGATGAGCGGTTCCGCCTGTAGTTTCAGGTTTTCTGCTTCCGGTCTATTGCTTCAGCAGCCAGGGGTTGTGCGAATAAGTCAATGTACCTACGATTAGACCCTTAAACATCATCCTGAGGCAGCCAATGAGTCTGCCTCTTAATCACCACTTTTTGTGGCGTAGACTGTAGTTGCAGTGCATACCTTTTCTTGGTGAGTTAATTCAGACAGAACAAAAGAGAAAAAAATAAATATACCTATAAATATAACTATTCTTTGCAAATAGGGAAAGGATAACGCACCATCTTCTTGACAGTAAGCTGTGGTAAGCAAAAAAAATGACATGAGAGACAAGAGTAATTTTCTACCTGGTTTTGAACATGAACTTAATAGGGAATATTTTAATGTGTCCGATAAGTACTCAAAACTTAATAGACCAAAGGGACCGGGATGATTTGCTTTGTGAAAGGAATCGGAGGGTGGAAAAATATAAGAGCATCCATAAGGGGAGACAGCTTTAGAGAGTATATGAAACATGGAGGAAAGATGGGAGGTCTCTTTCACTATTCCAGAAATGAGAGATCGTGGGTTTTACACTTTTAATAAAGGTAGTATCTTCTCCATAGATTGAAAACCAGAAGAAATAAGTCAGAGCCTAAAAAGGGTCGCTGGGTAGACAAGTCACATAATACCAAACATAATAAGTCATTCATAATTCAATAATTTAAACTATGGCATTGTCTTGAGACTGTTTCCTTATCTAGCTTACTTCTTGTCGACAGGTGAAAATTCACTCCATGTTGCCACCTCTGAATAAAGTAATTTTCTGTGACAGAGCAGAGTTAAAAGATTCTCTTTTCATACGTAGAGGGAAATTGAAAGGTGATGCTTCAAAAAAGCTCGTGACTTTCAGGTGAAATTCAGTTGTTTTTACTTCTGTGGGAAGATCTTGAATAGATAATAAAGATTCACTGATGAGTTCTAAATCACTAGAAATCATCTAGTTCCATTCAAAACCAATCAGATGACTAAACAATACTTCCCAAAGGCTTCCAGAAAAATTACAATATGTGGCACTTGTCTGAGTGGAACGGAAGTTGGGCTTTTGTAAGTTTTCACTGCTACTGCATGCATTTGAAGATGTCAAGCTACCCTTTGAAAAATAAGAGGTTTAAATTCTTTTCTTGACGAGCTCAGAGGACCGTTGATGACAATTGTGTATTTATTCGACTTATTGGCTGGAAGACTACTGTCATATTCCTAGGAGGATTAAATATACTCTCCACATGCAAAGATCCAAGTTGAAACTATTGTTTTCGATGTAATTGGAGGATTGGATTATACTTAATCGGATTGTCTTGCTTTCGGACAATGTTCCTCGAGAAAAGTGCAGTTACAATTGCCACTCATTCATAATCTGTAAGACTTTTCGTCAGCCGTTCCTAATGCTTAATGCATTTCAAAAAGGAAACCAATTTCTGCTTGGAGACAGCAGGAGCTTACTCCCAACTACAGAGAATATCTCGAATCAATACTTCATACAACACGGTGGGTTCTTTCACACTTGACTTTCCAGTTTGTCTTAACATGATTTTATGAGGCATCTTGTTTTAGATAATGCTGATAGTTTCAGAAGGTGGTAAACAAATTACAGAAATTGGTTAGGTACATATTCATTTAGTGTCATTGTTGAAAAGTGTAATTCGGCCATCAAAACCTTGACACATCCTTATTGTTGTGAAGGAGCTGCAAAGCTGGAAATTCTTTTGTTTCCGACTCTTAGACAAGAAATGAAATTTTTCCATGTTCCCTTTCACTTGAGACAGGGCGGTCATAGCATCTAACTAAACCAAGAAGTTGTGAACGCGCCTATTGAAAAACTTGATTCTAGTGTTCTATGTCTAATGAGATGCCATACTTGAAAAATAATGCTGAATGAGAGCACGATGGCTTCATTTGAAGCTTTTTTTCACTTATTTTTTACCTACTTAACAGTTTTATCATCTATCTATTTGACATGGTTTGTATTTCAATTAATATTCAAATTTGAAAGAAGCAAAGATAACTAAAGAAATAGTTCCTTGAAACAGCATAAACTCCCTATTCTATGAGATCAACTAAATTTGAATAATCTACAAATTTATAATGAACAAATGAAAGAAGAGAAAGAGAGATGCCGCAGAATGCAAGAAAAATGAGAGGAAAAAGCACTGAGGAATTTTAATGAGTTGCAAATCAGTCAATTTCCGCAATGAGTGAAGAATCGACAGACTTGATAGTGAAGGAGATTGATCATAAGAGGATAAATTTTGAGGAAATTTCTGAATCATCTTCTGACTCATTAGGTACCTTTGATTTATAATGCCTGTGAGGAGATGATTTGAGGTTTTATCCCAGGATTCTTTTCGATTGAATTGCCTTGTACAAAAACTGCGTATGTTCATTATTCCTAATTTTGAGGGAACTGCAAAAAACTGCTCAAGTTTTATAATCACAAGATTAATTAGTATCCAAAAGCTAACCTCTAAACTCTCCCACCACAAAACCTCCCAAATTCTAATTTCCGAGTCTCCAAAAATCGTAGATACCAACAAAGCTTAAAATATGAAAAATAGGACAATAGCAGTTCTCGCTTAGCTGATGTAATTACAAATCACTTTTTTTCTCAGGCATAAATTTTTCAAATTTTAATATTTATTTTATAGAAAGATGACGTGTACTTTAAATTTTATGATGCTCTTATATGTGAGAAATCAAAATTCAGTGGGGTCAACAGATGTATGGAAGAAGAAAAGAAGCAAGAGAGAAGGTAAGAAGAAAATAAAACACAAAGTTTAATGAAACTATAATTCATACTTTTTTATGAATTTCTCACAAAATTCTTCAAAAAGTTTATGTAGAACAATTAATATGTAACGAGGTTTTATAATGGACAATTTGAACACATAAAATAGCACATATGCAGTATAAAAGTTAGGTGTACTAATAAAAATAAATTACTGTGGCACGACCAAGGCTAGTCATGCACCGGACCCAACAGGCATGGGGATTCAAAAAGACTCCATACAAATAAAAAAAACAATGCTCTGGCCTCATGTTTGTACTTTATACACATAATGATATAGATAAGTAATTTCATTGCACAACAATATACAGAATAACAGCTTAATTAAAGATCTGTAGACATTTTTTGCGGGCATACTGAAAGAGATGATAAGCACTCATTCTCTTCCGCTAAGAACAGAGTCAAAGAAACTGGCAAGTCCCGTTTCGTTATTCCAAACATAATCTCACTGCAAGTTCATCATTGGTTGCAGTAAGAGTTTCGTTCTGTTTTTCCTTTGGCTTTTTTTCCCATTTGAATTAATAGCTCAGGTTCAACACCGAAACAGTACCTCCTCTTCAATTTATATTTTAAATTATTTTCTGATTGAAAAATTTAGACCATCATGATTATTAAAAGCTCAAAACTTTTTTTTTACCTTCTTAAAACTACACACAATTGTTTTGGCAGGTCCTACACTAGCTTTCTTCAGTATTTTCTTTGGGTCTGAAAACTGCCATAAAAAAATACCGAATAAGACAGGCAGAGAACCTGCTGAAACAACTGCTTATAGTTTTAAAAGGTACAGCAAATTTCCAAGTGATCGATAATCATGGGAATTAAAGTATTCTTTTCGTGTCTCGTGTCTTTTTGTGTAAAAATTGTAGGGTTTAATTAAATCAGCTCAGATATTGCGCCATTCTTTTGAATCAAAGCAGGGATGTATCAGGAACAAAGTGTCAAAAGAAAGTGTCAAAGTGAAGTTGTCAGAAGAAAGCTGATCATTGTACTCATAAAATGGAGAGAGAAAAAGTGAGGCAGCAACTTCTTGGAAAAAGTTCGTTGACACAGGAGGGATATTGTACCAATAACCACCCGATTTATTGCTATAAAGAGGTCTTCAACTAATTTTCTTCTTGACAAAGGCCTAGTATGTAGCAAAATCTTAAATTTTTTCCCTTATTTTTTCGAAAAACAAAAATTCATTTCTTAATTGAAAGAAATGGACCCACCATACAAGGTTATTTGACGTGCTTGTTTGAATTTAAGTTTCAAAAGTAAAGGGAAAATAAAAAAGTAAAAATAAAAATTGAGAGAGGGAAGAAAATTAGACCTTGAAATATATTGGAGTTGATGGCCAAATATTTAAAATTTCTCAATGACAGCTATGTCCAAGCTCATTCAGAGAGATTAGAATTTAGAAATTATATTTTAGGGGATTCAGTTTCCTTCAAATGTTTGATGAACTGAAATACTTGCTTACATTTTTGGGTCTTAAAATATGTAGAGAGTGCAAAAGTAACACATGAAAGGGAAAAAACTTTGAATAAATAAATATCCACATTAAATCCATTCCCATTGCATCCTCGGCAATATCTCTCCGCTGCTATGCAAACCCAAGCAAACACAAAAAAGAGAATGAATGACTCATGTGTTCACTCAATTGTTGATGTCTTCTTGACATTGTCCTTAAAATTCATAAAAGTTCTAATTAACTTTTAGGAATAGAAAATGCATCCTTCCTAAATAAATTTTTTTCTTTTGACAAAGAATAATTCAAGTCAAGAATGATTTAGAGACATTAACATTTAGAAAATTTGTAAACAAAACAAGGTGGAATTATAACTCTGTTCTCAGCCTCAGTCTGAGGAAAGTCCTAGTATTAAGTAACATTCAGTGCGGTTAAAAAGTCCTGCACAACCCCAATAACTTTTTTGTTGATCGAACTATTGAGCTGAAACTCCGGGGGGCCGTTCCTGAATCAAAGGCACCTAGCTACTTTTTGGACCACACTGCATACTTTAAGATGATCAGAGTGGAGCAGTTTGACTGAGGCAGACATCTTGCTGAAAATTAGCGGTGATAGTGGGGTGACACAATTCAAAAATGCCTACAGAGGTATTGAGTTTTGTTCTGGCACTTGGTTTAAGCTACTATCATGCCAGAGAAAGTAGCCAATGCAGAACTTACTGACTTTGAGGACACAGGTATCTTTATACGCCGAAGAAGAGGAGATATTGTATGCTCCAGCTCCCTGGCAATGATACTGGAAAAAAAAATTGAACGGCGACTGTCCAAAAGTAACCTGAATGATAGCCAGACACTACTCAATGTAGAATATTATTGTAGAAATGTTTTTGATTGCAAAACTCCGTATCCATCTTTTAGACTGATATAATTAGTCTTCTTTGAATTGTGAGCTTACATGATCCCCAAGAAAAGATTGCTGAAACTCTACAAAAAGCATGTAAAGGCCCCTAATTTGCTCATTTACTCACTGAAAATGAACAGGAAAGAACAGACTGTATCAAGATCATCAAACCTATGTTAAGGTCTTCAGAGCTGGTTTTTTTTTGAAGATGGTGCGTTTTCAATCCCCTGAGCAAAAGCTGAAAAGATTATATATATCGAGATCTGTAAGAGACAGTATTGGAAGGAGGTGTGGTTGTTTTTTGCTTATTCCGAGAATTACTGATGCAGACATATCCGGCACTCACATCGCAGCCGCTGACGAGGAGGTTCATCAGAACTGAGCCTCCTCCTCCACCTCCACCACCGCCTCCGCCTTCAATAATGCGTGGGCGTGCCATTGGTGACTGGGTTCTGCTCCGCTTCCAGTTTGTTTTGCCCCAAGGCCCATCGTTCGGAGGTCCTCCAATGCGTTTGCTCCCTGCCACATCTGGTAAACGAACACCTTCAAATTTCATTTTGATATTATCTCCTAAAAACAGACCAACACTTAATGTCATTGACGTCAGGACTCGTTAATTTAAACAAAATTCAAAATACTCCTGATTCTTTTATTTCTATAGAGGGTATGCTCCAATGTTCGAAACACATTTTATAAATGAAAATTTTGCATAAGCTCAAACGTTTAATGATTGAAAAATTATATCTATGATGTAATCATTACAACTCCAAGAGCATTAGAACTGGCATCAGAAAAGGCATCGCAAGGCAGAAAGGCATCGCTCGTTAGTACCCCGGCCATAAGAATGAATGGGAAATATAAAGCGCCAGTGACGAAGCCGCCATCGCGCCTCTCCCACCCGCTGTTGAACTCATGAGCCCTGTCCAAAAGGCTCCAGATACATGCCCACGGCTCATACACTGTGCACATAGTTCCGTTTGACAGAACGTGAAATCCAGCTTCTCCAATTCAGCAAACGGAACTGTGAGCCAACTAAGTGCGGCACCCATGAGCCGTGGGCATGTATCTAGAGCCTTGTGGACAGGGCTCATGAGTTAAGTGGCGGGTGGACGAGGCGCGATGGCGGCTTCGTCACTGGCGCTTTACATTTCCCATTCATTCTTATGGCCCGGGTACTAACGAGCGCGCCCCATCTTTCCCCCTGCACATAGTTCTGTTTGGTAGAAATACGTCCAATTGTAAAATGTAGTCTAATTGCTTTACTACCCATGACAGTCAAAAGTAAACAACTGCAAACTTACCAGATGCCAGTTCTAAGAGAATTGCCAATGAAAGACTTTAGTTGCAAGAAAGATAGGAATCATTAGTTGGGAAATGTAATTGGGCTGTATTACCTTTCTTATTAGCATAACGCTGCCTGAGTAGTTCGCTCAAAGGGCTTCCTCCTCCACTATCAGTGCGAAGAAGCCTTGCTAAACTTGAGTTGGGGTCTGGTGATGAGAGTGATGGTATAGGAGATCCTGGCGGCGACCTGGAGAGATTTGAATTTATTTATGATACTTCAAAAGATAATATTCCCAGTTTTGCACTCAATGTAAATATTTTTGTAGCAATAGTTATATTTTTAACATTGTAACCCTGCACTAACAATAGGGAGTGGACTATACTTTGGAGTGTAACTACCTTGTGGATGGATTGTATCGGATAGGTCGGGCAGAAAGGTATGGCAATAGAAAAAAGTGAGCATTAATTTGTTCTGTGTTGAGGTAACATTTTCTAAGAATTCACACCTAATTTAGATTCATCGAATAAAACGTCTTTGCCCAAGAAGAATATCTCTAGCACCCACGGTTTCATTCTACAGGCAGCACTAAAAGCTTTCTTGCAATGGCTAGAAATGTTGTTGAGATGAAGTTCAGCAGCAAGGTGTGAAGTAAATTTGCTTATTATGGTGAAATGATGGTTTCAAAGACAAATAATTTTCACTATGGGCTTTGACACTTATCATCCTTATTATAAGAAGATTCTGAGAGCGCAGAGGCAATTCTAATTAGTTTTAAGTATATCTCATGCTTGCCGTGTCGTGTTGCAAGCTTGTATTCTAACTTGATGAAGTTTAACATAGCCAAAAAAAACAAAGAAAGCAGTTTCATCACTTTCAGCCGTTGCCATACTTGATGATTGTAATACTTTTCCCCAGATGTGACATATGAGATAGAAACTTTCCTCGACTTTTACAGTTTTTCAACCTATTGAATGATTTCAACTAAAAATTAGTAGATAAGAGAATATGAAGACGGAGGGGGGGGGATTGATTATAACTTCTATGTGTAAAAATACCTGATTTATCCAAAACAAATAATAACTTAATTTTGTTACGGATAGGATTGGTGATAATTTTTCTTAGAGAGATTTTAATTAAAAAAATTAATGTTGGTTTTGTCAAACATGAGAGAATGCATGGAGCTTCATACAAAATCACCAGGAAAGTTTGTCCCAGAATTGTTTGATTAATTTTCAATCATATATAATATGTACTTTCAGGAACCAAATCCTTTGATTTACACTCTAAAAGATAAAAAGGACTACGAAGTTTTTCTTTTTTTTTTCCTTTATATTTTTCAAGATCAAAAAGCGACTAAAAAATTGATTCCAATTTTCTGAACATGCAGACTCTTCCATGACGTAACAGTCACTAAAAGTCTAGCCACATCTCAAGATTCGAAGGTTGTGGGTGAATCATTTTTGATGTTTGCAGAGAGTAAGTAGTTCTGTTGGCAGTTAATATTTAATTTCTCATCCATTAATAAAGCCGTTCATTTGCACTTTCTTTTTGTTTTTCAAATTTGATAAATATATTGTTCCTGAGATGTTTATAACATTGTTACCAAATACTTTGGATCACAGGTCATCCCTAAAAAATTGTTGTTCTTTTCTTTGTAATGGGAGCGTCATCTTAAAAAGATTAAATTTTTCAGCTCTTGATTCAAACTTACAAACTGAGTAGACTATTAAAGAAGATACAATTCCCACAAAAAAACATGCTTATCCACTTTGAGTTGAAAGAAATCTGTAAGACCACGAACAGACTCTCTCTCTCGCTTGGACACTTTGACTTCGTAATAGAGAAAATAAGAAAGGCTTTGAAACATTGCAATAATGAAAGCATGACTTACCACATATTAGAATTGTGATTATTATTACTAGCGTTATAACTGTTTCTACTAAGACTGCTGCTGCTACTGCTATTTGAAGTATTACTTGTACTGTTTGCACCCCACATTAAGTCAGCAGAAAGTAACAATGGAAGATCATTATTAGGAATGTATGGAGCTCTCATACTAAGCTCGTTCGAATCTAGGTCTAGGCCCAATAACGAATTTATGGTAGAGTCTTCTAGGGGCGGCGAATCAGTGCCAAGAGAGGGTATACTTCCGTCCTCAGGGCTCTGTAACAAAAATCAAGATTTTTATACAATAAAAAATGAGATGTAGAGAGTTATCATCAGAAACAAGCAGGTACCATGGGGCTAAGTGCACAGAAGCTCTTCTGAAGGCTGTCAAATTAGTAACATGCTCACTCACAGTATCACAGATTTTAGAAAGGGGTCTGAATGAAGAAAGACAGCGAAAAGTCTTAACTTTTTTACATGTTCTTTGTTTTATTTTTATGAAACAGATAAAAAATAATTGACACAGCTATGACGGGAGGATAGAAGCTAAAAATTCAGGTAGGGATGTCACTCGAGGTAATAGAATATAGGGAAACTATTGATTTTTGGTGCATCTTTTGAGGGGCTTGGAGGACAAGGCACATGAAAGCAGTTTTTGAAAAAATTTAGAAAGTAATGATTGCAAGTAAAACTAGTCTTAATGCCGATGTTGTGAAAAATTCGCTCCCAAATTCCAAATATTAAGCATCAAAAAGTCAGTTTGAACTTTCTTTCCACCATAAGGATCCATGTGATTTCGAAACTTCAAACTTGTATTTCTCGAGATAGCAAAAACTGCACTTTCGCACCTTGTCCTCCGGGCCCCTCCTTTGATAGTTGCTTTCAGCTACACAGGCAAATGCAGTGCTTCGAGATCAACCTCCCTTTACTAGACATTTTGATTATTTTAATTTATTTTTTTTAACCAAATATTTTTTGTTATTAGTGGACTAGCATGCTCACCTGAGTGAGAGAGGGTGACAAAGATCTGGAGGACGAAAGAGCATCCCGGTAGGAGAAGAAAGAGTCCGAAGGAGACATGTCCTTGGTGATGCTATCAGTTGTGGCCTCACTGAGCAGAGGACAATATGAGTCCGAGAGGATGAAGTCATCGAGCATGGAGTCAAGGAAGCGCGGAGTGTCTAATGGTACGCAAACATCTCCAGCTGTTGGTGCTAAATGCGTAAGATCCTCTGGCTCATCTTTCAGCACTGCAACACAATTTCATTCAGGGTTAATTTAGATTTAAAATAAAAATGTATGAAGAGAATGAACGAAAAACACTTTAAACTCACCGCATTCGTGAATAATGAAAATTAGCTTTTAGAGAATTCAGTTGAGCATATTCCAAGTCTAAAAAATCCTAAGGTAGGCATGGTCACACGTTATTTATTTTGAGAAACCATAGCTCTGTTTACAGAGCAATTGTAAAACCAATATAATAGGATAAATTAGAAATTGCATGGTGAACCCGAAACAGCACCAACAATTTTTCACTGAAATTGACTTCCCCTGCCTTGAAGACTCACGATCAGATCGAAATTTTTCTAAATTCTTTAATTTTTCTCCCTGAGAGCTACCTATCTGGCTGGACCAGAAGAGAGTCGGACATAGTTTCATGATTTAAGCTATACGATTGGTACCATTTCTGCATTTTTATTTTTTTGGAGGGGGGGGGGTGAGTGGAACGGCTGGAAGTTAAAATGAGCTTTTAAAACTAACATTTTATGCTCCTTAGACTGAAATTTAATGAAATATCGAGACGAAATTTTGCATAAAAATATTACCGCAATCCTGCCGCGAGGATTGAAATTTGAAAGGCTTACTGCTTACTTTCAGGTGCCGACAGAGATGACATGAAATACCTTGCTGCGGTGCTGCGAGACCGGGCGATTTGCATCATGCGGTGCTATTGAATTGGCAATGATCCATTACTGACCTCCCGAGTTATATGAGTGCAACAGTGTTGAATCGTAAATTACCCAATAAACGTTAAATTATACAAGCACACTGCTGCAATCTGACAACAACAGCTTGACTCTATCCCATTCATGAACGTAATGTTGCCAAATTACATGATTTTTCCAAGTCCCTAGAGTATTTTGGCTTTTACTTTTAGAGCCACTGGCGTAAGTACCACGCAACGCATTCAACGGAGTTGAGTCCGCAGTACGGATCAGTATGAGGGGGATACGAAGGATTACACCGAGTAACCAGTGGCGTGGCGTGCTTTGCGATACATCGAATGATCTACCATTTAAACCAACGAAAAAGGATCGATATACAGGGTGTTTGCGACGAACACCTTAATAATCGATTCTTTATTATAGCAGAAAACGATCTGAAGATGAGGTAAATTTTTATACTTGGTCTCACTTGATGCCAAGCTGCCGAAGTAGGTATACAACCAGTCTTTGGGATGCTGAGGACTGGTTGAGCAGTGATTGTAGCTGACTCGGAGCTTTTCCTCTGAAGGCTCACAGAGCCTTTCCTTGGAAGTTGGAATCTTAAAGTCTCAATTTGGCCGGTATCCATGTCAACATTTTTGCATGCGAGGGGTCGGAAAAGTTCGAATGTATGAACCACTGACACATCACCACAGGCTATTATCATTCCTGCGGATTATTTACTAATTCGTCAGGCAAAATATTCTGCGGGAATAACCCTTGACATTTAGCTGAGAGCAATGCTTTCGTGCTAGCTCACGGAGGGTCTCGATTCACGCTGGGCGCTTAGGCTAAGCTCCTCCGTGCATGGGTGCTAGCTGTTCGGCCCTGCTTAGAGTCCACGGTCCACGCCGAATAAGTTTACGCATGCACTGGTAAAAAGAGACAAAAGATCCGCCTGCCGTGACTTTCCGCACTTACTCTCACTCTTGCAATGAAGGAGACATATTTTTGTCGCACTTAACAAAAGCGTCAACTTATTAGGAGGTGTGGACTCTGAAAAGAAAAAAGAGAAGAAAATGAAGACATAAAAATGGTTTTTCGCGGTCGTCGAAAATTTCTAAAGACTAGATAAACTTTAAAAGGCCAAGCTTTGGCCACTCCGTGATTGACACGATAAAATTATTAGGGAGGAAAATGTATTCGTTTAAAAAAGGGGGACCAACGTTAGCGACTGCTCTTGTCAAGCGGCTGTGACGGTGCACCGATATCCCTCTCTAATTTATTCTCGTCTCTTGTTAGCATGATGCGAGCTTCCCGAACGCCCGTTTCAATGATTGCAACGCCGAACAGTGGAACAAGCAGTCATACATGAAATTAAGAAATAGACTACAACTCCACTTTTTGATGTTAATTTCGTCACATTATCAATGGAGACCTTGTATGCGTTAGGGATCTGCCTTTTGAGAACTTCTTCATCCAAACAAGATTCGCGAGAAAAAAGATGGTGCCATTGGTTTTCTCTGAAATCAACTCCCAAGCTCAAAATAATGCTCTCGAAGTTCAGGCCGAAATGGAGAGGATATCCCAGGCTACGTTGAGAGTCTACCTCTATATATCTAGTTCAATTTTTCATATTGGATAAGGTGAAAATACATTAGCAGGGTTGCCTAAGTTCCAACTTTGGAGTCCCCAAGGAAAGTGACAACCCTGCTAATGCATTTTCTCCCTATCTGTATGGAAAGTTGATCTAGATATAAAGGTAGACTCTTAACGTTGCCCGGGAAAGTCCCTTCATTATGCATGGCCTGAACTTCGATGGCTTTTTTGGAGCTTGGGAGTTAATTTCAGAGAAAACCAATGCCACCATCTAGTTTCTCGCGAAATTTAACACGAGAAAAAGTACTCAAATCGCTAATCCCCAACAAATGCAAGAACTCCATTTTGAGGGGTTTCAGGGTGCAATTTGTTTCATCATGGATCTCTAACTCTCCAATTCATTCGTAGTTTTCTACCCCATTTTACAAACGCCAACTACAGTTAAACGTTCTGACTCAATCTTCGTCAACACAATGAAAAAAAGAACCGTGCTCAAAGTGAATGTCAGGTCTTACCTACTCTTTAAGTTGTAGTGCCACGTTAATTTCGTGGTAGCATTCTAACTATCAGACTTAAAAAGGAGGTAAGACCCGAAATCTACTACGAGCAATGTGAGGACGACGACTCTCGACTTTTTTCAGTGAGGTCCACTTTACCGTTCATTGTTTCGTCTAATAGAGGAAAACTAGGAAGCCCTTGTACATGCTGTTACCGAGGATCACTTACGGGACCCTTGAGCGATTTTGGCGCTTTCGCGGAAGGGACATGAAACCTGACCAAACAGTTATATTAGACAACGCTGCATGGATTCGTCTCGCCAGGGTTCCGAGCTGAAGCACTGCCCATTAATGACGCAAACTGCGCACAAAGCCGATCCGATGCCTAGACGTCGACTTCGGCTCCGACCGCTTGCTTGACGAGGCCCTATTTTGACTCCCAAATTATAACTTGGAATGCAACTATAGGCTGACTATCAAAAATATTCGAGGGGGAAAAAGCAATCAGGTCCCAAATTTATATTTAAAAATAAATTATGTCGAAAAATGAATTTTTGGATTCAAAATATAGGATGTTAAAAATTTTATGTTTAATGGCACTGTGCAAATTTCAAGATAATTGCTGGTTTAGGAACTAAAAATCGCGTAAAATACCTTCCTCTGATGAACACTTTTGCAGAGAATCTTTCATTCAGTGAGCAATGAACCATTTTGTCGAAAATTAGGAAAATAACCAGAATTTCAATCTGAGTACAAAGGTTTGACTGTTTGCTTACGCATTTGAGAATATACCTAATTTGATTATTTGCCAACGATATGTCGACACTGAAATTCCTAAACCACGTATCTCGTTTGCGCACAAAAAAAAATTAAAGTTGATTTAACATTTTGGATGTTTAAAAAATGTGCGAGAATTTAAAAAATGCTGAATTATTCGGTAGGTACAGCAGTTACTTTAGCAATGCCAAGATGTAAATCTAACTGCAGTGGCGGATAATTCAGCATTTTTAAAGTTCTCGCACAATTCTTTTACATCCAGAATGTTAAATCAACTTCACTTTTTTTCCGCTGCGGAGTTTCAAAATCTTTGCTCCTTCTTTATTTTTTTGAAAGAGGAAAAATCAACATCATTCTTTGAAGCTCTTTCAGAATTTACTTCGCACAGAGGAGAAAAGTTACGGAGGTTTCTTAGAATTGACGTTGAGTAGTTCTCGAGGTAAAGTGTAAAGTGTGACGAGAAGTCTGCAACGTCGCGAACTGGGATACGTGGTTTCGGAGTTTCACCGTCGACATGGATGGTACGGAAAACGCGATGCCGAAAAACTGAGGATGCATGCTGCAAACGGTTTGGTATCACTCGGTATCATACTTTTTTGTGTGAGATCAACCCGAGGGACTTGGTTGCTCAACACAATTTTGTGTTAAATCGACCCAAACCGTAGGTTACTCTGAGGGATCGGGGCAAACAGAAAGCCTCCTGTGGAACTAATGTACTATTGTTTTCCTCCCAATACTGGGAGCCAGGGCCGGATTAAGGGGGTGGCTACATGGGCCGCGGCCCATGGCGGCAAATCAAGGGGGCGGCAAATTTTGCAATTTTTTTAAATGTAGGTATATAAAAAAATCGGATTTAGAAAAAAAAATTACAAACGAGAAAAGGCTAAAAAAATCTCTCATTTCCTGAGAATATAGTAATTTTCAATTTTGTCGTCTTTCAGTGAAACAAGAGACAGCACCTTTAATTATTCGAGTTAAGAGAGAAACCACACACACAATTTGGCCTGGAGCGGCGCGACTTAGGACTCGAGATGAAAAGGAGAATCCCTCGGCGCGGCGATCGGCAGGTAACACATATTAGCGCCTACAAGACTGCACGAATACTTCACGCATTGCATCAAACACAGTGTGGTCATTGCGGACAGCGTGAAACGGATAGCGCCTACAAGAATGCATGAATACCTCACGCATTGCGCCAAACACAGTGCGGTCAGCGTGAAACGCATAGCGCCTACAAGACTGCGTGAATACTTCACGCATTGCACCAAACACGGTGCGGTCGGCGCGGCGGCGGAAGTTAAAATCATTAAACCAAATGTGTTTGTTCTTTCATAATTTTTTCGTTCATTCTTATGAATGGAAGGCCTTGTCCATTGGAGATAGGTTTACGAAACTTGACTTTCGCGTGAAGTTCCGTGACCTTGTGCTAGTAGTGTTGACAGCTCTCTCTTACACATTGAGTCAATGGACGAAGTCCGTTATCGTAGTTTCAGGTATTTTACTTTTTTTGTATTTTACAAAGATGTCATTCTACTCAGTATTAGTGCTGCTACACGTTATGGATTAGTTTCTCGCGTTAACTTGTATGCAACGATTGCAACGATAATTACTGCTTTTCAAAGACACAAACCGCATAGCAGCGCCATGTAGTGGTGATCTCGTCCCTGGATCACATAAAATCACCTTAACCTCGACCTTAATTACGACAAAATGTTGGTTAGTTGGACGCATTTCTATCAAACAGATGTGCAGGTGAGGAATATGGGGTGTGCTCGTCAGTTCTCCGGCCGTAAGAGTGAACGAGAATAATAAAGCGCCAGTGACGTCAACGGAAATGGATGCGGCCCCTCGTAGTGCGCTTTGCCCCAGAAGCCCCGTCCACAATGCTCTCGTGCCATGCCCGCGGCTCCATGTCCCGCATTCAGTTGGCACATAGTTCTCTTTGCTGAATTAAATTCCACTTTCCCAATTCTTCAAAAGGAATCGCGCCCACTGACCACATTGTTTCTTATGCAGCTTCGACGAGCACACCCCATATGCCGTGAAAGCGAAGAGAGCCGTGAGTGCAAAATTTTTGAAATCGAGTTTACTTCAAAATTCGTCTAAACTCTTTTAGATGAAATTACTGAGACAGCTAAAACAGCAAAATTCATCCTAATTTAATGAAAACGGGACGTATGTAAAAGCCGTAAGCGCACGCACAAAAAATGACACAGTTCTTTTTCAAGACAGCCATAGATGCATGAGAGCCAATGAAAACAGTGCTTTCCAGTAAAGTGCCGCCCTCTTCTGCCAATTTCTAACCTGAAAATGTGATTGTTGTGCGTCCAAAACGCAACCACGAAAGCTTGCAGAAGATAGCACTTACGGCTGTCTTGCCTAACAATAACCTCGCATGAAAATGAAAAATACCCTTTTTTATGTAATGGAAATAAAATCAGTCGATTTTTAATCATCCATACGATTTCTAGGAGTCTTCCGGACGATTAGTGGCAATTTGACAAAGAACGGAGGCTTCTTTCAATAAAATGATCTAATCAGAAGCTTCTGAGCCCGTTTTCTCAGAACTTCATTTTTGCACTTACGGCTCTCTTCGCTATCACGGCAGCCATATGGATTGCATTTTGCAAAAAGGAACCACTAGCATTGCAATGATGCTAAGATTGTGCAACTTGATATTTTGCAATAAAATTGCGGAAATCGTGAAAAACTATGAAATTTGGATGGTAATTTTTGTCTTAAATTTACAGTTTTTAGCAAGTAAAATAGGAACTATGAACGGGTAATCGGGTTTTTCCTCCAGGACAAAAGAAGTTGCACAATCTTAGCAACATTGCAATGCTAGCGGTTCCTTTTTGCAATATGCAATCCATATTTCTCACTTGCACATAGTTCTATTTGATAGAAATCCGTCCAGCAGGCTGATTATTGAAATTGACAGACAAAGCAACAGACAAAGAAGACAAAAAACATACGAAGATATCCTATTGGTGGAAGCGGGTGGTTGCAATGGACAAAGGACGTACGCAATAGACTAACTAACGGCAACCCACTAGAGACCGGATAGTTAGTCTATCATTTACCGCCTTAGTCTTTAAGAACCACTCATTTCAACCAACTGCGGACTGATTATATAAATTGATAGACAAAGCAATAGACGAAGAAGACAAAAAGGATATGGAGGGATCCTACTGGTGGAGGCAGGTGGTTGCAATGGACAAAGGACGCACGTAATAGACTAACTAACGGCAACCCACGAGACACCCGATAGTTAGTCCATCATTCACCCCGTTAGTCTATAAGAACCACCCATTTTAACCAATAGGGCGGCTCTATACTCCTTACGCCTTCTTTGTCTATAGCTTTGTCTATAAATTTCAATAATCGGCCCGCAGTTTCCCTTGGTGTGTAGAAGAGAAGGGAAGGAGACTCACTGGCGAGGCCGTCGTCGTCGGAGAAGGTGAGGAAGCCCTTGTTCATCTCTTCGGTTCTCGGGGCGAAGATCTTGGCGGTGGTGGCCTGGGGCCGGAGGCAGAGGGCCGGGTCGCCCTGGGTCTGCGGCTCCGGGGTCGTCGTCGGGTAGGGCGCCAAGACCTTGCTCGTCACCGTCTGTGGCCGGGCGGGGGCGGGCGCGGGCGCGGGCCCCGGGAGCGGCAGCTCGCCCAGCACCTTCTCCTCATCCAAGAACTTGGCCTCGGGCAGCTCGAAGAGGTACTCGCTTTCGGAGAAGAGCGACTCCAGGAGCTCCGGCTTCGGCTTCTCCGCGCTCCCTGCGCTGGCTAGGCCGGCCACGTCCACGACGTTGACGGCGTTGACGCTGCCCACCGGGCGGAAGAGCTTGCTCGTCACCACCCGCGGCTTCGCGTCTTGAGCTCCCGCCGCCGCCGCAGCCGCTTCTTTCGGCGCCTCCGGGCTCCTTTCTACTCGCGCCGGGATCGGCTCGTTCTCTTTTCCATTGCTCAGCAGCTGGCACGCCGAGTAGATTTCGTTCTTCTTCTCCACACCACTGAAACAAATCCAAAAAGCGTCTCGTTAGAAATGAAAATCCCCCGTATTCGTGAATTTCAAGGCTGCCGCAAAAAGAAGATGAAAGCACCGGACATTTCCCTGTCACACTAAGGGAAGGTTCCCTGACGATTAAAGATAAGCCGGACGGTTAAAAAGACATAATGCTAAATCTGTTGATTGGAACATCAAACCTATCCTCGAAGCAAATGAAGACGACTTCACAAATTTCCCCGGGAATTTTTGTCATTTTCTCTGGCAAACCCAGGCCATTCCTGACTTTCCAAAATTTCCTGGTATTCCCTGAATGTAGCAATCCTATAAAAATTATCTCCCATGTAGATATTAATTCTAGGGACCGATCAAATAGTACGCAACTCAAGCCACTTGGAGGGGGGGGGGCATCAAGCCGGTTTAACGTAAACCTTTTGCGTTGAAAAAAAAAAGGTATATATCGATTAAATGATTTTTTCCAGCTATTTTTCAGGCTTTCTAGATATCAGATTTTTTTTTTCAATGGACAAAGAATCACCAAGTTGTTTAGATGGCTGTTCCAGTTGATTCACAAGGAATTTCTTTCCGAGCAATGTTGAGCAAAGCGTTTTTCTCGTTGCAAATGTTACTATGATTATGCACTCGTCTTCAATACTGTTTATACGAGAGCGCGATTCCCTCGCGTTTTAATGATGACTCAATAACAGAATTACAACGTAATCGCGGAAATTTCACGGGCATTAGCATCACTAGTGAGACTCCTGGAATCTCTCTCCGGATACACCATGCAAGCCTGCGGCTTTCCGATCAAATCTCAACTCCCAGCAGCGAAACGGCGCGAACTTTCGACGCAATATCGTGTGAGGAATTTTTCAGCACGCAAGTCTGGACGGATGGAAATTTTACGTCTCCGATAAGGAGTGAGTCGAGGAGTTCAAGTTGAGTGGCTCTGAAGATTTGGGAACTCGGTGGAATCCCGGCTCTGGGCGGACC